CTCTCCTCGCGGTTTCCGTCCGTCCTGCACCCACGCACGTCCCCCCCCCCCTCCCCCCCGTCCCGCTTCGCACGGCACACAGGACGTCGTGTCACGGGACGGTGACACGCGCGTCTCCGACGCTAGGGCATCGTCGCGTATCACACGTTTTTAGCGGCACACGAGAGATCGCGAGAAAGAGTGGGAGGGGGCGAGAGAAAGATAGAGCAACACGGAAGGCACACGCCCCGAATTACGCGCGGATAACGCGATCTCGCCGATGCCGTCGCGTTGCGAATCCGCCGATGGCGACGCTACGCATTCCTGTCATCCGCCTGCTCTCTTCGTCGCACCACCGACCACGGCCGAGGGAACATGGCGTACCTCCACATGCACGATCGTCACGGAGAAGCGCACCACGGTCTTTCTCGCCTTTCCGTCTCTTTTCTACACTCTTCCCTCTCCGGCCAACCGATACACCGTATCTGTTCGTCGTCGCCTAGGTACTTTTCGTTTTCGCCCGACGAAACGGTTGGACATACTTGTAATGACGTCGCGTCACTTGCCGGTTCCCAGCCGAGCCGTCAGATGGCGACACTGGCCCGCTCGTATCGATTTTCGATATCACTCCGTGGCGGTAATTTCGACGTGCCGAGAATGTGGAACGAATGTAGCGGCGCGCGGATCTGCTCGACACAGCCGTTAACGTCCCATGGATTAATCTCGAGCGCTCGTTGAGTAATGCCTTTTCGATGCCCAGTTCGTTGATTGAGACCGTAAAGTGAGAGTTTTCGAACGGACTACTTCGCGCTCATAGACAAGGTTGGTTTCGTATGACAAATATCGGCAAATTTTTTCACCGCGAGCGAATCGCGCGAGGTGTCTATCCCCGGTGTGCAATGATATTTAAAGGACATCGTAAAGATGTCCTAAGAATTTAGGATGTCCTTTGGACGTCTTTCCTCGGAATTGTATTCTCACCTCCATTCTTGAACATTTCTGTGTCGCGTCGTGCGGTTAGAGATCCAAGACCTGTTGAGGGAAGCAAAATCTCGCTTCCGACAGTTTCCTATCGTAATATTCCTGGAATATTATATGAATATTATTAAATATTAAAATAATATTCTAAGAATGTACATAAATGATCTTTCTCTCTCTCTCTCTCTCGGGTTATTTGTCGTATCGACTCGACGAAATAATAGTCGAGTATGCTGAATATAAGTTTGCTCCTTATCGCCAAATGGGAACGTCGAATGTGCCGAGCCGGTGACATCACAACGACCATCTCTCTCACGCGTCATCGGTTAAGCCGCACCTGGAAAGGCGCGCCTTCTTTGAACCAGTTCGCGGGAGCAATTATGTCTACTTTTACAAGAGCGCCGTGCATTTCGCGCAGCCACTTTTGGAAATCGGCGTGTTTTCGAAACCATATAGGTAAACCTGTCGCGACTTCTAGACCCGTTGTCTACCTACGTACACGTGATGTCCGGAAAGGAGTATAGACGATGAATGTTACTGACGAATGCAAAATACGAGGATCCCATAATTCCAAAATCGATGAAAAGACGCTGCGTCAACCGCAGCTTTAAGCGCGTAATATTATTAAATAATATTCTGAGCATATTATTCGAATTTTAATCGATATTGAACAGTGTTAAAATAACATTTAATACTTCACTGTCGATCAATATATTACGATTATTATAATTTTGTGCTGATTCTTGACTTAATTTTTAACATATTTACTTTGCGTTAAATTAATATAAAAATGTGTTTAACACAAAATCGTTTACTTCATAACACATCAGATTAAAAGTATGTAATAACATTCGACGCTGCAACGAGCGTCTCATAAATTGGCACAGTTTATATGTTCGCTGAACAGGTGAAAATATTGCTCTGTCTGACCTCCACGCGGGTTGGTCGGCGACAACGCGATTGAGATTAATTCGTCCCGTGGAATTTTCGCGCAGGACTGATTTGAAGGATACTTCCTCCGCGATGCATCGTCGTTCGCTCGTTAATCGTGTTTACTATTGACACGGTTTCCCAATATATATCAAACTCATTATATACATATTAACATCGAGATTAATGTTTCGTTTCGATCTACTTGCACGAGATCGCCGTCAAGGAAAATCGCAGATGGGGAGAACGATGTTGATGTATCGTCGCTGATTTACAATAGCCGCATCGATGCGAGCTGCTACGTTATTATCCCGCGTTAATCAACGCTGATTTAACTCAGAAGTTTGTTTGATAGTATTGCATTCCATCTCGCGCGCATTAAAACACGGCGAGTCAATTTGCGATTCGAGCGCGCCTCTAATTAGTCGGAAAGTAGCGCCGGTTACGTGCCGCGTAATCACACGAGAAATAAACCAAGATTATAACTGGCTGCAATAACCGCACGGTCATTCAGAGACAGTCTTCATTGCGGCGGCAAATAGAGCGGATCGGCGAATACTATTGACTGACAAACACACACAATTATTCCATTCTCTCTGTGATGGAATATCGTCAGAATTGTCAATTTCTTGAAAGAAATTCCTCAATATTTTTCCAACTTCTTCCAATTAATTTATTAACCATCGTTTGGATGAAAGTACGAAAAAGGAAAAGGAATGACGTAAAGATATTTATTGTTTGAGAAACAATCCTGTTTTAAATGAAACATTCGTTTATTCCGACAAATAAATTCGCTCCAATTTGATTGAAATTCAAAGAAATCTTCCTCTCTGTGGTAACCGACAGAAATAATATTTCTTCGCGCGCAGAGAGTATGTCGCGGGGCGACGATCGATTCGTGAAAAGACACTTCGCTGAGCGCGATCCCGCGCGCATAATTAATCACGACGGGGATCAGACGTCGCCTTTTTCAGCCGACCTTGCGCGCGGCGGGGCGCCGGTTAACCCGATGTATTTTGATTATGCCCGCGGATGAATCACTTTACATGCCGAATCCATGCGCGCGGTATAAGGCTGGAACGCATTTGCATATTAACGACCTCGAGCGAATGGGGCTCCTGAAAACGTACGACTTATTGTGGATGGCTCCATCATTCCTTCTTCTTCCAACAGGAAACCGCGTGTTTAAAGTAGCGCGCTTTACATTTACGCAAATCACATGGGCACGATTTTAATTATTCTTCGCCCGCCTGCATTCGTAATATCCTCCCAATGCGCACCGTCCATTTAATCTCTGCCGTTCGTTCTTAATGTTTTACGAGACGTAATCGACTCTTTCGCGAGCATCTCCTCGCGCGCGCATGAACGAGATAAAGCGCTTCACGCTCTTGTGCGCAAAAAATAGTGAAGGAGTAAAAATAACGATGGGAATTACTTAGCGAGATGTGAGGTCTCAAGTCACCGAGCGGGCTTTTGTGGGTCAATGGGACGTTAATCTCTAGATCTCTCGCGGCGGTATTTCTCATTGGATGCTCGTCATCCTCGGGACACATCTTGTTTGTCCATTCGGGCGTGTGCTCGTGTTGACAGTGGCTCAACACCTCCGCTCGGCATAAAGTTAGTCCAGCCTGCGAAAAAGAAACTCGCTTAATTTAATTTAACCGCTCGCCGATCCGTTAAAACACGTTAAAATAGCCGACGCCCCTCTTAAATATACCGGATCTTTTGGACAAGTTGCGATAATACACAATGCGTCGTTTGGTGTCGCGATATAATGGAAATATTTTGCGATGTTACGGCGCGTCGAATAATTACATTTGCGTTCGTCTCGCCGCCAATTAACGATAGCCTCAACGATACAATAAGCATTTCCATCTTCTCTCCCATATACGTACCGGTTCCTATTGGAATTCCGAAGAAGTCGAGCGAGGGAGAGGAGCATCGAGATCTTGCAACAGAGCAAACGGTACAATTTTATCTGGTCAGGCATTTTTTTACGCGATCGTCGATGCATTTTCGGACCGCCTCTCTTCACAGGCGGGAAGCTCCTTTATTCAAAATGACATAGTAACAGCGACTAAATCTCGTTAACTAGTTCCAACTTTGCTAAAAGTTGACTATTAGAGATGCAACAGTTAGTTATATAGCTATGCGCGCTCTCTCTCTCTCTCTCTCTCGCTCTCTATCGGAAGCCAGTTCCAAAAGCCGTTCCAGGTGGTGACGTCAGACGTGGGCACGGCGTACACCGTGGCGCCGCGTCGACTAGACTCGATCCTGAGCGGCCGGTGGATCCGTCAGAAAGTACTCGATGGCCGGACAGTATCGCGAGCGCTGGCGCGAAAGCATGCGGCGCGAGCCTCGTCGAGTACAACACGCTCATTCGCGCTCGCGGCGCATCGCACGTCGCACCGACCAGCAGCTTTCATCGATTCGTTCGCCTCCTCACCCACGAGGGAGAACGTCGCGGAGCGATTTTCATCGAGATCGCGGCAGAATAACGCGATAGGTGAGTGTAAACACCTCTGTCCCCTTTCTCTCTATTTCACCGCGGTATCTCTCCTCCGGGTGCGTGTATTACCGATTGCAGCCGCTTTTCCTCGAGGATATTACGCGAGTGGCATTGTCAGCCTCTTACATAACGAGCGATGCAGCAGGAGCGATGAGAATCTTCCCAGTGCAATGTGCGGTATCCATCCAATTGAAACGAACGTCCGTTCGTTCGTTCTGCCGATCAAACCGAAACGTGTTATAAGGCGTGAAAGCCAAGGTGTCGCGCGGTCCTAAAATGGATCCGTTGCCTACTCGAACGATCCCGCTCCGCATTTTCAACCAAAATGGCGACGTCCTTGGCGAGGTCACGTGTGTCCATGTCGTCCGCGTTTGCTCGCTTCTCGCGCGTTCAAATCACTCGGATGCAATGCACGGCGATTCAAACGTCCCGCGTCCTTCCTATTTATACACACCAGTCCGATTTCGTTCTGTGCGTGATCTGTACCGCGAAGATTCGTTTTCGCTACAAACGAGACGATGCGCTCGTTTCAAGTCCCGCAGAGCTTTGTAAATAATGTTGAGGACGAACGGCTTATTTAATTAGACAAACTGACGCTGCACTCGACGTGCAGAGTCTTTACACGGGGAAAAATCATTTTACCGTTGTAGCGAAATCATCGTTGCGACAGCGATAAAATTCAATTGGCGCGATCAAATTAACGAATTATTCGCGAATTAGAGCAGAAACAGTTTTGTTGCCAGGATAGAAAAATTCTGTCGAGTCAATTTGTTTTTTTCTTTATTCACTAACTTGCTCTTACAGCAGAATAATTTATAGAATCAGCAAAATAATCCAGCAAATGGCAATTAATATATTGTTAAGAAATCGTTTTGCTTTCCACATAGCAACTAACAGACTTTAGTACGACAGTATAAAATTTATTGTGTCGGAAAATTTTGATCACCACGCAGGCATAACACGAAATTATGAGGGAAACGTAAAATTATGCCCGTGTGTGGAGCTCAACATGGAATATACGTCATACAACATACGTCAATGAATATAGAGAATTCCGCGGAATTGATTGATAATAATTCAAAGAATCGTAGATGCGCGAATGGAGAACGAAATATTTAGATACGACTTAACGGGCGATTACCGTCAAGGATAATTATTTTATTCCGCATCACAATTCTCCCCCTTCCCCCGATACTTCATTTTGTTCTAGACAAAGTGCGTAAAATGTCACGGACGACTTTTCGTGCTGTTCGCTTTTATTACGCGCTGACGCATCTCTGACGTCACACGCATATCCAATAAGGTGAGACTGGCATACCGCGGATTACCAAAGAAACGCTTTGTCAATACAAAGTGCACGTTTGTCCTTTTATCCGCTCGTGAGATACAAGGTGTTCGCTTTTCCGGCATTTCGAAAGAAAAGAGAAAGAGACGAGGAACATCTTCGTGAAATAATCCGAAGCGCGCGACCGATGAGATGAGAACGCGGCGATACTCATAGGAAAAGAATTCGAATGTGAAAACATTCGCGCGACTCATGATCAGAATTGTTGATTTCTCGGTTTTTTTTCCATGCGATCGATCTCTCGCATGACACGGTGATTATCGTGTGACTGAAGAAGGAAAAAAGAAACTTGCAATTAACGACATCGTCGGATAAGTCGAAAGCCGCCGAAAGATTATATACACTCCGCTTTGTAGACCGCGGTATACTTTTATGAAGTACCCGGGGGAAGTGGTATATTAAGTGTATTTCACGGTAACGTATGTATTCGCACGGAAACCACACTTTACGATCATAGATCCTAAGGGTAGGAAAAAAATCTAAATACTCGCATACCTGTCCATGAGATGAAGAGGGGTGGGGAGAACGCGTGCGTAATTCCAACCGCAAGGACGCGAGAGGCGTTCAGAGGCGTAGGCAAAGCTCTTTTTAAAGCGAAATCGCCGAAACCCGAGAAAGAGAACTCGTCGACGCGATTGGTCCGTTCACAATCGCGAGTCAGCGCAAACGAAAACATTACGAAAGTGATATCATTCACGCCGTGGATGCACATCGGTACGCGATGGTGTTAACTCTCACGCCGATTAGAAATCCCAGGAAAATTGCTTCCACTTCATCTTTCTGATCCAGGTTTCATCGTTTCTAACACGTTATTACTTATTGGAGATCGAGGATCGCGACCAAGCAGGTCAGGCAAAATTAATTTATTCCTCGGATTCCGATATCTAATTTACTGCTTCAACAAATTATTTTTCTCGTGTACACAGAATAGAAATGCTGTTACATCGATAGAATCAACAGCGCTATAATTGGAATAAATCCTCTTGATTCGTTAGCAATATTATTGAAACCATTGCGTTATCAAAACAATGTGTGCAACGTATTCGTTTCAATAATATTGTTATTGAATTAAAACGATACATTCTAGTTACGTGTCTGACGCCATTGAACAATTTTATTGATACAACAGTATTTTCTTCCTCGTGCGGTCTAACACGGACTTTAGTTTCCAAAGTTCTGGCCGATTGTTTCAATTATCCGCTGGTATTCCGCTCTTTCCACGGTTTCCAGAAGTGTTACTCAAGCCGCAGAATCAATCGCTCTATAATAACGCGTCAATTACCCTTTGCCGGCCGATCGGGTGTAATCGCGAGCGTTGATTGTATGAAAAGCGTCCGTTACGCCATTGATGGAGGGCAAGCCTGGCCGTACGTGGTATCACGCGTGTCTTTAGCCATCTTGATATCGTATCGAGATGGTCCGCAGAAAGAGCTTCCCGATAAATTATTGCGCCACGCGTCTATATACGCGCGCGTCGGAAGAATGAGAAAAGGGATGCGTGCGAAGCAAGACCGATGTTCCCTCGACTGAATCACCACACGCGGAGAGATATTAGAGAGCTTTGGCAATAACATTTTTCAAATACAATGAAGTCACGTTATTGGCGCGAAACTGCGCATTCACTGCAGTTCGAACTATCGCTCTGAGAATCAAATCGCAACGAGCGATAAGTCGAAGATTTTGCAAAGTGCTGCTGTCGTCTTGGTGAAAATTGAAACAATTCAATCGCGATTATCGGTTGAGATTTTCACTGTAAATTTCTGGAGTTGCAAATTTCGGAATATACAAAACATTCTCTGTCATCGAAATTAATTATGATTTATATGTAATCAAGCCTAATTGTTGCATGCAATTATCTATAATAAATTGTAATGTAATAATATTTATACGCAGATCTGATTCAAGCCGACGTACACAAGCTTGGTTGGTTGAATTCCTCTTCGCGGCAAGCGATCGAACGGAAACACCAAGATTTCGCAGCAGACATGATCGAATGATGGAGGTGATTTCGACACGTCGATACGAGGCCCGTCCACCGGCGAACACCCACTCCTCCATTCTCGTGAGTAACACAATTTCTCCGGTCTGCATTTCCTCGCGTCGGAAAGCGCGAAATTGCGAAAAACTGTCGCTAAACCGAGAGAAAATTGGAATTATTTTCGGTGCCAACAATATCCTTTTTGTTATTTTAACCACAAAAATAGCAACATGCAAAAAAATAGTTTTATTTAAAGTAACAATAGGATATTGTTGACACCGAAAACAACCATGATTTTCTCTCAAAAAACAAATCACCTTATTGAACATGGGATGCGTTACAAAGCTTGGAAGAAAAGAAGCAATTGCAATTCTTTCATGACTGACCATTGTAGTTTTAAAGGCTTGGAAAAAATCTAGTTTTTTTTTGTCAAATTTTCCACGGATTTTTCGGTTTCTTCCCGAGGAAAAGTGGAAAAAAAAAGCGGTTTTTCTAACTATACCGTTGAATCGTTTTCACCCGAGCGATCGACTAATTATTCACGATCAATCATGAGTGAATTCACGAGTGATCCGACGGATTGCGTTTAATTTATTCATCGTTTGTCCATTTTCTCTGCGCTCTCGCCTTGCGTTAACATCCCGACCCCGGGATCAGAATCCGTCGATGAGCAGTTTAGTCGCGTGTAACGCGGAGTGAGAAAGCGGTTACGGCGGAGTTACTCGCGGTGGACGGTACTTCTCTCGCGATACGTAACGCTCGCAAGAATGTCCTCCTCGCGGCCGAATCGACGACGACGACGCGCTCGCTCGTGGGCGAGGATTTACACGCGTATTGTTTCCTTTTTCAGGTTGACCCTGAGAATTCCGTGGCATTAATCAAAGAAGGTAAATTCCTCAGCGAACGGTAATGTTAATCCGCGCGACCCGTGCCGTCACACACGTGTAAACCGAAAATTTATTAAGACTGTGTCGTTGACACCGACATAATTCAGAAAGTCGGTAAAAATGACGGCACACACTTCGTGTGGGATACGGCCAAAAGATATCTAACGTTACCTAAGAGAGACTTGTTGACGCGACAGAACCGCCCGAAACATCTTCCCGCGGTTTTTATATTGCAATCGCGTATTCGGATCGTGCGAATAATAAGTAAGCCACCGGAGCCACTCACATTTCCCGAGTGGACATGTATTTGCGTTTTTCCCATTAGATTACCCATCGGTCGCATATCCCGGCTACGTAAACAGAATGTCGGTCTCTCTCGGTTTCTTTCTCCTTCTTTCCTTTTCTTCTTACCATTCCCGCTTGCTTTCTCCGGAGAACGCGGCGGCGCGATCGCGGAGATAACTGTTCGTTCAGTGCGTGGTTGCATTGTTTCGCTCATTTGACGCGATACTTGGGTTGACGCGCCTCCCCTCCGCCGCGTTCGTTCGCTCGGCACCCGCGCGAAATTGGTTTTGCGCAACGATGTCGCGCGCTAGCCAGGATGACGTCCGCTTTCCGGCTTGCAGAGGAATGGGAGACCCGCAAGAAGAAGGAGATCACCACCACGCGGCAGATCGAGACCCGGGTGAAGCGGCAGGTCGTCCTCGAGGACGGCGAGGTCGTCGTAGACTCTGGACCCCTCGTCACTACCAACACGACCGAAGATGTTGAGCAGCAGGAACACACAACGCAGGAGGTGCGCATATTTATATACCGAATAGTACGGTCGGCGTCATTTTAATCTGCCAAGGGAAGCGATTATTTTTCTTCTTTTCAGAGTAACAGTTATTTTCAACAAAGAATATTTTCTTGATAACAGTCATTGAATATACTTATGACAAATTTGAGAAAAACTCCCCGGGAGAAAAGAGATCATGTGTGAAATTTGCCCATATATGACTATATATAATTATATATGTCCACAACGAAAAAATACCGTTGTTTACAAATTATATGCAAATCGAAGTAAATGCTTCCGACAGCACACGATCGACATTTAATTCAATGACACATCGTTTCTTTCGTATATATGATCATATATGTAACCACATATATGGACAAAATTCATATATGATTTTATATAAAATCAGATTGGCGTACATTTCCCATTATTGGTAAATCTGGTAAATTCGATAGAAAGAGTAATCGAGTAAATTTTAATTATGCGAACATCTGCCCTGTAAGATGACAAACTATTGGTTTGACGCAAAAGTTTGTTCTGTCTTTTTTTTAATTAGTTCTTCGCTCAGAAATTCTAGAATTTCTACGAGCGAAGCTCTCTACGAGTCATGCAGCTACCAGAGAGACGGAGGGTCATCGAATAAGTCGGCGTATATTTGATTGATTGTATCGAAATAAATAAATATTATATATTTTATACATCTTGATGGTATATTTTGTTTAAAGAACGGAACGAACTTTTTTGCTCCAACCCAATACAAACCGAACTGTGAGATGAAGAGAGGGAAAAATTCTCTCTCTCTCTCTCTCTCTCTCTTTATCTTATAATTCTATCTTCTTTCCTTTATAGAGCAGTAATTTTCCTTCTTACAATAGTGAAAAAGATTCGTTTTTAATCCGGGGTCTCTTTATTCTCCAATTCGGCCTTACGTCACCTTTTCGCTTCTCTCGCTAATAATAATTTCCGCGAGAGAAACATCTCGCATCTTTGCACGTTCATTTCGATATGTCTGAAACTTCCTTTGTAACGTACGGAACGTGTTTTTAACGTTGTTTCGCGACCGGTGTTTAGAGACGCACGACCGGGGATCAGCCTCAGGAGGTCGAGTGGTCGACGGCAGGTGGTATTGTGGCCGGAAATGGCGGCAACATCGTGCAAAAGGAGTCGAACGAGACGGTGGTGAGGAGCCGCGAGGAGATCGAGGAAAGACTCGAGACGGAGGATCGTCAACAGTTGGGAGATATCTCGGACGAGGTATACGACACACCCACACCTGAATTCCACCTGCGCATGCCGCAGGGAATATATTCTCTTTCCCGGCATCGCGTGCGTGCGCGAAAAGGTCGCGCTGTTTGTTTCTTCGTCCCATCTGATAGCTCGAGCGGTCGTGCTGGTGAAGACATATCCCCCGAGCACGACCGCTGATACCCCCTGTGCCCCCTTCGTTACGAAACGAGTCGCGGAGCTTGAAAAAGCAACGAGACGCGAAGTATCCAGACGAGATATCCGAGAGATTAAAGTTGCCCTTTCGCCGGGGAAACCGCGATTTTGTATATTGGACGAGCGAAGTATATGATTACGGCGCAGTTTCGTCACGTACAAAAGAGCGTGTTCAGCTCCGTAAATTTCTTTCTCCGCGAGGAATCACGGCAAAAAACGCATATCTAAATATAACTCCCGATGATTACTCCACCACGTTTCAACAATCGCGCGAGTTATAAATTAAGACCGCTTGATTTGACGTTTGCGTTATCTGGAATGACAATGGCAAGATCGCAAAGCAACGCGCAGCGCGCACAGAACAGACGAACAGATCGATGTACGCGCGAGAAAAGTTTCACAAACCTCGCCGGGACACGGGAGAGGAGCGCCCGGCTTGCGAAAGACGGAGTAACAGGTATACATGTGAAAGAGAGAGACGCTCTCTTGCGCTTCAGGATGGAGGAGGTCGAAGAGGAGGAGTGGGAGAGTATACGAGACTGAACGAGAGAAGGAAAGGGATCTCAAGAAGTGGAAGTCGATGATCTCTCGATTTTGCTCTCCCTTCACCCAATGGCGATGAAGGAGCCGACCGCAGCAGTCTCAGCAGCTGTTCCGATCAGCCAGTTCCCGTTCACGTCGAATCGCTGTATCTCGTCCTCCGCGGAATCGACTCGCGCCGGCCACCCGAGATTCCGTCGTCTTCGTCGTCCTCATCGTCGTGGTCGACCAGTCGTCCTCGCGCGCGAGATGCCGAGATAACCGCGCGGGAAAATATGCCTCGCTCATTCGCGAGACGCCGGCGTATCGTCCTTTTCTCTCTTTTTTTCTCCAGCTGATAGAGACCAGCAGGGCTGATCGCACACGCAGGTTCGATTGACAGAGAGTAGTTTTCCTTCCTTTTCTTCTTCTTTCCCGGTGTGTACGCACTCGTTACGCTCGTCATCCTTGTCCTCGCGACCGAGGTCGGTGGAATCGTGTAGTGTCATCATAATCGGCACTCGCGCGCGGCCAATCGGATTTTCAGCTCGTTCGGTGGCGTCGCACGCTTTCTCAAGGATCTCGCGCTCTCGATCAACTGCCCCGCAGGACATTCTGAACGTTTCAAGAGATTTGTGGAGACGCAATTTTTCGCTTCGAAAAGAATTTCGCCCGGTGATCGATCTATAGACAGATCGCTCGGCCTGTACGTGTGAAATGAAAAATTAGAAGAGATCTCCGATATCTCGAACAACCAGTTCGCAATTTCCTAGCATCTTCCAGCATGTTACACATACGATTGCGTGCACTTGTCTCGTTCGCGGCAACCCGATGCATTTTTGCGGAGAAAAGAAACAAAAAAGGCAGAGCCGGTTTCTCGTGACGAGATTTCGGAATATATTGTACATATATATATTTGTGCGCGCGGAGAAAGGTTTTTGAATGTACAACAACTGGTCGACCAACGGGGTTAATGCGGTCGCGTCTGGCTTTTTAGGCGTATCAGAAGGCGGTGCGCAGCAATAGAGGCGACTTGCGAGCCGCTCTTGCGGAATCTTCCAAACAGTTGACGCTGCAATCCGGTCCGCGGGTCATTCAGCACACGACTAGGTCAAACAAGGTTATCGACACCGAGAAGACCTTGGAGAAAAAGGAACTGAAGGCTGACGGGCTGATCGTTACCGAGAAGAAGCGCACGGTCGAGCACGAGGAGGTAAGTCGTGAATTTCGCACTATTTTCTCCTTCTTCTCAATTTATCTTTGCGGCTTCAACCAAATTCTGAAACGATATCAAGAATAATATCATTGATATATCTGTAATAATATTGATATTCAAAGACGCGATAATATTATAACAACACATCACGCGATCGTTTTCGCTTCAGATTAACGACGACGAAGTCCCGGACGACGGACAGAAGGACGACGAGGCCTCCGAGACGAAGAAGGAGAGCTCCCAGAGGTACGTCAAGAGGAGAGAAGAGGACGTAGTGGATTATATCTCGGCCGGCGAGAGAGTCGGCCGAGAAATGCGCTACGTCGCAGAGACAACCGAAGGAGAACGAATAGGCGACTGGTCACCATCACCGACGGGTATGCGGACGACTCGTCTTCACAAATATTCTGGTAACCATTGCCTTTCTCTATCAATTTTCTACCACCGCGTTCCAAATGGTTAACCATGCAATGGCCCGGCTTCATTATGATTCTTCGCGGTGAGATACAAAATCGCGATGATTAGCACATCGATGATCTTTCCTTTCCTATTTTAAGGGTACATTATATAATCGTCAATAAGAAAATATTGCACGAAATTCCACCAAGGTTTGCAAAAATGTCACCTCTAATTTTTCACACGAAAAAAAAGAAACATTCTTGTTTTGAGAAAATCCGTATTTTCAAAATTAATATAGTGACAAAATCATGAGAAAAGAAGTTAGAAAAACAAAATAACGTTAACAATAAAATGAAGTGTTCATATCAAGTTAATTTTGCGATTATTTATTGGTTATGTAGTACGAGTAAAGGAAAAGTGTTCGTCCAATTTTACAAGTGTGCCGCACCGATGATAAATCTCATTTTATGGATATGTCTCTTTATTTGAAAGTATAACGCAGAAACTCTTGCGTTTTCTCACTTCTGACGCCATTAAACAAGGACAGTCATAGCGACTACTTCGAAGCTTGAATTTTCTTCCCACAATCTAATTTCCTCTAAGAAAGACGTCGTCAATGATTACTACAGGTTTTCCGGATGGTACATCCGCCGCCCGGAAAGATGCCCTGACGAAGAAGCCGCTAGACCTGGAAGAAGAGGACGAGGCGAGAAAATTCGAGACGTCCAAGTGGCTGGAGAGCCACTTCGGTAGCGACTCGCGTTCTTCCCACGGGTCTCTCGATGACGTTCCTCTTCCACCTAGCACGAACACGAGTTACATCAATGTCACCATGAAGTCCTGTACACCGAAGGAACGGGAATATCAGAACATGAACTCCAGCCGCCGACGTGCCACCGGCCGGGATTCCGAGTCGCCATCGGGATATTTTCACGGGATCAGCGAATGGTCGGAACGATATCAAACGGGAAGAGGTGGGAATTTTCTTACCTAAATTTCACGCGTATTGATATGAAGAAGTTCGCGCAGAAATACGCGAACTTTATGCAACGAGAAATAAAATTCTCTGGCAATACGTACGTAATGTTGAGACCGCGCGAATTGAAAATGGTTCTTATGTCGCATATTAATATACGTTGCGTAATATTTTCAAATAATACGTTGCACAGAGAAGCAAAATCATGCGCGATCGGGATCTCCGGTCCGGTACGCGGAGTCTCCGCGTACGAACGGGCAGAAGAGAAATCAAGTCGAGTCCTCGTATTCGAAAACTTACGAGACTTTCCGACGGGAGTACCAGGACCCCGTCGAGGAACGGCAACGTACGCCTTCACCACCGATTCGTCGAAGATCAAAGGAGCAAGTACGTCTTTTTCTCCATCATGTTAATAACATTGTTAGGTTAGTGAATATTTCATCAGTGGAGTATCGATTCCTCGCAGTGGGCAAAATCCGAGGAAAAGACCGGCTCGAACGAGCCACCATCGGGCCGCACTTCGAGCCCGGTGCACGTGGTGCAGAGAACATGGGAGAGTCGCAGTCGCGATGGACCAACTCCTGAACGCGACAATCACAAGCACAGTTCGCCACAATCGACCTCGCCGAAATTACCGACGGTCAGCCGCAACGAGAAGAAACCAAACACTTCGAGCGCTCCGCGAGCGTCGAAGAGTGAGTTTTCTTTCCTTAATTAATCCGAGGCAGAGGGAACTCGATCCGATCATTCAACGAAACCAATTTTCACACTGATGTTCTCACTCTTGCGCTGACAGAAATATCATTATTTTCATTTGCTCATTCCCCTTATTCAGTTTCACCACTGAAACTTTCTTTTTTCTTCTTCGCAGGTAGCGGCTACTCCAAGTACAAGATCGGCGAGTCTTTTCGGAAGCTGGTGGGCAAACTGCGCTCGGCCAGCACAGAGAGGAGGAACAAGCGCGCGAGCAGCGGCTCGACCTCGCAACTGACACAGACCGACGACAATGGGCCGACGTACATGCAGTACAACGTGATCGACCGGAACATACCTCTCGTGAGCGAGAAGGACGTGGCGGGAGAGAAGCCGCCGGAGAGACCGCCGCGGAATGCCGGTGTGTCAGGCGGCAGGACTGTGGTGGTCCAACGCAGCGAATCGACGCCGCCTTTGCAGAGGTACTACCTGGGCGAGGACCCCTTCGGCGGCAGCATCTACGGCCGCGAGAAGGGATACGAGGACGGTAGGGACCGGCGACACGGAAGACCGCGTAAAATTGCCGTAGATTCCGAGCACAGGTAATCGAAGCGCACGGCGGTCGAACTTTTTTTTAAAGAGAATCGCGACGCCGCTTTCTACGCAGGTCCTCCTCCGCTTCGCCCCTCTTGTCTATGATTCTTCTCAACCGGTGCTTCCAACGATGTAAAACCGCTTGTTCAGGGTGGCTCGTAGAAATCGAGTGTCCGAGATTCCTCCTCTGAAATAGACTCTATCTCGGCGAGTGACACAGCGTCGTCTCCGCCGGGAGAACAAGTAGAAAGTCCGAAGGGATTCCGTTTACATCTGTTATATACCATGTGCATGAAATGACGCTCGTTTGAATGACACAGCGCGTTCTCGTGAAAATTCCTTCCCCGTCGCGATAGACGGACGACAAATCCGCTGTCTCATGTAGTCCGGCCACAAGTCGATAGTTTTGCTCCATATAGCGATTGAACATTTTCTTGCGACAGCGTCAACTTTGCTACGCCGGAAATGATTTTTTTCCGTGTATACGATTGATATCGTCTGAGTGGTACGAGAGCTAAAGCATCTTCTGGATCTGGTATCCGCTTGGCATCTCTCCCTCTCTTTCGAGTTTCAGCGAATCCATGCTCGCTTTGGTTTCTCGGGCTTTCGGGGGCTGCATGAATCGCGCGTAAATCTATATAACTATGTACATATATATATACACGGCGCTAGACTCTCTCATTCGACGAGAGAACGTGATCCTCGAAATCACCATTCGGAAACCACCGCGTTTCAGCGTGACTTCCAGTTCGCTCGGCAGGTTTAGCAAGTCCACCGGCAGACTGGCGGCCGGCGATCACGAGCGGGAGGAGCATTTCCGTTCCACGCAGACCTTGCCGCGGAATTTGCACACCGGACGGTCGGTCCGCTCAAAAACCACCAGCAGGCGACACGAGCAACATCACGCGAACATCAGCAGGCACGGAGCGCCCGGCAGGACCGGCCAGCACGGCAGCATGATTAACATATCGATAAAGAACACGGTGACGTCGTCCCCCAAAGTCGCCGCGTACAGCACCCTTCAAGCGCCCCCGAAACCCGAGCGGACCTATCGCTCGTCGTTGTCGCGTAGCAAGAGTTTCAACGTCGAGGCCGATAAGCCACCGCCGGCCCCCTACACCTCCAATCTGCACCTGAACCGCCTGAACGAGACACCGCCGCTCAAAAGTCCCGGTATCCTCGCCAGCATCAGCCGCAGTAACAGGGACCTCTTGAGAGACGGTAAATACTGACCTGCGCTTTGTTCGACATTCGAACTGCCTCGGAGACTGTCATCGTTCATCCTCCCCTCGAGACGTCCCCTCCGAAGCGGCTCGCGGAGTGTGTACGAAGCTGCCGGCTGAATTTAGTTAATTCATGAACGTTTCCTTTTTTTCTTTTCCACGTGTCTTACATGTACCATACGCATTTTGGTAAATCGTTATTGATCCTCGTGAGAGGAAAGACATGAGCGAATCGACCTAGACACACACACACACACACACACACACACAGTATCACGTTCTACTTTACAACATCGGGGTACTTGTCAAACAATTCAAAGCGTGAGTCGTTTTTCGGCGACAGTCGACCTCGAACGCGAAACAGTAATCATTGAGGAAATACCGAGCACTCGAGACACCCTGTATATGTGTAATTGTTAAAAATGTGACGTGGTTATTATTTATGTTTTTCATTATGTTAATCCGCAATAACATAATTCAATTTACGTACCTGCATCGCATTTTGTTATTTACCCGTGACATAAAAAAAAAAATATATATATATATATATATATTAGGCGCGCAAATTAATTCGGTGCCTTTATTTGCGAAAAACTGATAAACATCAATTTTGAAAATATTCGCCATCATTTTCTGATACTTTGCTCCATCTCTTCGAGTCGATAAAGTCGTCTACCCATTTTCATTCAATAACTACTCAAGCTCCTCGTTTTCAAACTTTTTCGGCGCGCCAGGGTGTTCTTCATCGGCAAGAGAGAAATCACCATTTCGAAACTTTTGACACCACTTTTTACAAGTATATTTATTTATTATTCATATACATTTAATAACAAGAGAGTATGCAAATTTGTCGCGAGTAAAGGTATAAAACAGTAAAAAGAAATCATAACAAATTTATTTCGATCGGTCGCATCTTCCGAGTTTATTTCGTTTTTTGTTGGTGCGCGATGCCGGTGGATACCAATCGGAACTTCTTCAGGGCGTAATGCATCAGCAACGCAGATACGACGTACGTACTTACGCACACTAGGCAAATCGTTTTTAATTTATACAATATAAAAGCCAGATACACCGAAGTAAGAACAGAAGCTGTTCCAAGAGCAAGAATAGCGACGGAAAAGGCGTAGCTGTTCTTTAAAGCTGAAAAGAACAATTATAATTTATTAATATATTGTATAAGAGATAGAAGGGAGGGGGAGGGAGTCGATAATCAAATACGTACACATAATTGACATCGCGGTGAAGAATATTATGCCGAACACGCAATTTGGGACCTCACACAAACGAAGTATACAACTCTTTGAAGTGATTCCGAATCCTTTGCTATATCTGAAACACAACGCACCGTCCTTATCGCTTTTATGTCCACCCAAGACATTTTCACGATCGTTCGTGAAATCGTCAATTCCTTAAGTGACCTTAGATACAATGAAAGGAGAAAGGAATTCAATATAGGGAATTAGGAACAAGATATTAGAAATAAGATGTAGTTTAAAACACAATAAAAAGGGTATGGAATAAGATATAAGGACATTTTAATACAAGATCACTTTTACTATATCCTAATAAACTGCTATTGTCGTCATTAACACTTATCATTTCCCATACAGCATAGAAGCTAACAACAACATTGTTGCAACATTGGCAATATTGCAGCAACATTATTAGTTGGCACGTTTCTGTGCTGCATGAGTTTCTTGATAATTACTGATTGATTCAAATTTACTTTCCTTTGTATATTGATAATTATTAAAAATTTTGAAGGTCAACTTTCAGTCATCTATTAAGTCCTATAAGTAGATAAATTATTAATATAAGGAATAGAATAAAATTAATGTAAGGAACAGAATTTCGGACAGTGTCCCTAATGCTAGTTCCTTATTCCTTTATTATAGGTTGAAGAACGTTGTTTATATGCCGGAATTTAATTCCTTGCTTCTAATTTCCTATATTTAATTCTTTGTTTCTTATTCTCCTTTTATCGTGTCACTTTTGTGTCATTTTCCATTTTTTCAATTCATATTGCACCACAGACTTGTTAATGGCTGCTTGTTATGAGCTGTTTCAAATATCGCGCGATGCATCACGACAATCATGGCTGTACCCTCTAGCGTTTGATCAATTTATGCTGCACTGTTGAACCGGTGCAATAAGTGAAAAACATGAAGTCTGTTAATTTTCGATGCACCGCTGAACTAGTGCGATAAGTTGAAGTGAAAAAACATATACTTGTCTCGCTTCAACTTATTGCACTAATTCAACGGTGCAGCGAAAACGAACAGACCTATATACTTGTTTCACTTCAACTTATTGCACTGATTCAGCATAAAGAATAGACGATAAATTGACCAAACGCCTCGGACTTAAAACGATCCGGAATTAATACACAAACAATTACAACAATGATAGCAATGACAATAACAAGAATAATAATCATTACGCTCGGAGAGCAGCATTTATTACTAGCCACATACAAAGAGATTCCTCTCTTTTTTTCCTCCGACGAGTATCGGACGCGTGAAAACACGAACACGTGTCGACGGGACTCTGATAGTCGTGAAATTGATCGGAGAAACTCACTTACTCTGAATTTAACACGGCACTGCAACTGATAGTCTCGGAGATGTCGCATAACGCAGCGTAGGACGCGTCTAGTTCCTTGTTGGACTCCACAATGTAGGCGTAGACCGACAATGCCAGGCCGATCACGCAGAGTATCAGGAACCGCTCATTGACTTTGTCTAACGTAGGATTCGTGCCGGTTTGCATCGTGAATGCAAAGATGAGGATACAACTGTGTGAACGGTTACCGATCGTTGGAGGGTTGCTATCAATGCGACGCACGCTCGTCGACTGCTTGACCTCGATATGATGCGACGAACACGAGCGGCCGTCAATTTCGAACTTCGACGATGACGAAGTCGTGATAAGGTTGCGCCACTCCGGCGCTTCAATAAACACATGCGCTACAAACCCGATAGTCGGAGGGCGTGGGGGGATAAAGATCGATAATGGAGATATTAACGAGTTTTGTCCGCATGAAAACCGCTGTCTAATTGATCATTGTGCATACTTACCGATGCGGAAAACAAGAAGCCACAGGGACATTTGCATCATGGTTTCTGGAATAATTGTGTCCGGAGTTCGAGGAGCTTCGTCGTGAGGCACTTGCTGAGTCAGAGTCTTTTATTTTTTTCTTTAAGATTTGTACATTGATAGAATCTTAAATAAGCTTACCTACATGTACGATTGTATTTAAGGTCTTGTACAAGGAGGATAGAAACTAATAGAATCCGAGGTTGACTCTATTTCCTGCATCTCCACTTAAAAACGTAACATCCAAGTTATTGATTATATACGATTTACAGATCGAACATTGTCGAACCGAAGGAGAGAGAGAGAGAGAGAGAAAGAGAGAGAAAGAAAGAAACGATCTGCCTTGAACTATCTATTTCGGCTTTGTAATAGTTCTTAATATTGATAATAAAAATATATGCGCGTAAAAAAGGGTCTTACGTGGTGGTACCGTAAACTGTCGATTCTACTGTGAAATTTCGACAAATCTACAACGAGCGGAGACACATATCCGACAAATAAACTTAAAGGGCGTAAAGTTAAACTAGTTACAACATATGTAATTTTATACTCGTAAAAAAGATTAATCTTAAAATGGAGCGATGGATCAGCTCAGGAAAGTGTGATCTGCATATAACACTTTTTCCATATGTCAAGTTTAACTGAATGTGTCCTTGCTTGCTTATGTGTCTTGCGGAGCCATTGCTCTGGCTTGAGCTTTAACGCGCTTTTCATATTCCAGACGATTTTGACTGCAGATAAAAATACTCAATGATCATTCTGCGGGTATCGATATTATTACTCATGGATCTATTTGTGCGAACATATAAGTCATACCAATATATTGTGTAAGCTTCAGCTTGGGCTGGATCTTTTACATTTGGTTCATTCAACAAATCTTGAATACCGAGGAGAATCTGCTTGATTGTGATCGCTGGCCGCCAGTCTTTCTCTTCATCCAAAAGCGACAAACAGACTGTTCCAGATGGATAGACATTAGGATGGAACAACGGTGGTTCAAATTTACACTTTGGTGGACTTGATGGATAATCATCTTTAAAAATCATACGTAACTTATACAATCCACCTTCCCAAGGAGTCTGAAAAATCGCTCAATCAATACGAATGTATGCTATAGTTTTGTACAATCTGTTTTGAACAAACCAACTCACAGATTTTTTCCCTGGTATTGCACATTCCCAACTCATCAGATTGAGCGAGCCGTCTGGATTTTTGGTGGGTCTAGCTACAAAGCCCTGTAATCGATAGGATTCTTTAGATATATTCCTAGGAAAGACTCAGGACGTAAGAATCAATACCGCTAAAACTGATTTTCTTCAAAATCACAAGAGACTGTTATAATTGCTCTTTTCGTTCATAATTCTGCTCCACACAATCAAGTTTCCGGTGTGAATATTAATTGATGTTAATTAAATATTGATCGAGATTCCGCCGTAGATAGGGTTAGGATATGAGATCAACCTGCTGAATTATGCATAATCAAACAGAGAAGCCATTGTATGAGCAGAAGTTGTTTTCGTTTATGTCGGCGGGAAATAGCGCGGCGAAACGACATAGCCTCTCTAGAATATGTCGGCGTTCTGTGGGCGCGAAACGCGAAGCAGCATACGAGCTGCTTACGCTGCTTACGGTGCGAGATGAGGCACTCACAAACGGATGGTCCTTCCTCCATGCTTTCCGCTCCTCGGCGAGCCTGGCAATCGCTATGCCTGACATTAGTGCGCGATGATACGACGATCCTCCGTTGGGAAAAACTGGATGATGCGAAACAGCACGTTCCTCCTTGGTACAACACCTAGCACGTTGATGCGAGTTCCTGCAAGCGAATTTGAATGTGCCGGACACTGTCTGCCGCTGGAAATTTCATGAAACGCTCTCTTTGCGGCGCGAAGGTGCAGCCAAAAGCTCAGCCAGTAGAATACCGCCGTACGTGTTCGCAAAAGCCACCGGAATTGTCCGCGCGTTTAGGATCGCACGGACTTTTCTTGAAAAAAATGTTCGACCATTTGTTGCTCCAATCAAATCTTGCTGTCTAGAGGTAAAGTCATTGCCGACAAAAATCCCTAGAATATAGTTTAATTTTGCTAAAACTTGTCCAATATGGATTTTCAATTTTTCCAGTATAATATTAGGAGATTACGTATGATGGACTGTTATATTTGGCAATAGATATAAACAGATACCTAACAGAATTGTAGGGCTTTCGTGTTGTTGAAAAATGAAGGTATGGATTATTTATTGTTGAGTTGTACTACTGCAAGATTAAAAATCAACTTTCGATTAGAATTTCGATAAATATAAAGCTGATGATGTAGTTCGAGAAGCATTTTACAAATTGAAGTCTCTTTTTTAGAGATATATTTTCGAATATAACAACTACCCATTTATCATGATGCTATGTAAATTAAGATTTGTCTAGTGACTTATGTTCATCGGAATCCTGTATAAAAAGAGAGTCTCAAATACATAGAGTTTCAGTCGGACATATCCAATCACGGCGGCCTATGTCTAGGGACATTCAATCACGGGTCACTGTGATTGGATGTATCCGACTGAAACTGTGTGGGGTCTTCCTCATTGGAGCAGATGGCATGCTCTTATCAATTGTTATATAATATTTGCGACGAGCACTGAATAATGTTTTTAGCTTTATTTGAACTTATAATGGTGCAAGTATGTGAATTTTTATACTGTCCTCTACGGAAACATGAAAAATTGCGATTGTTTTGCGTTAATGTAATATTGCCTATAACGTATGTTGCCATTGTAATTAACCACCCGCACTGTGATATTGTGAAGCTTAAGGACGTTAAGAATTTGTGTTAATGCAGTACCGTCTATAATACATGTTGCAATTATAATTACAGAACATGTACTTTAGCTAATTGATGACTTCCCTACATTTGTATGTAACCATTTATTTATCTGAAAACTTGTATTAAATTGAAATCAACTTATTGGACACACAGAACACACACACGCGTGCACAGATCTAATCGAGTTATTAAATATTTTTTTAATTATATAATTCTTTATTACATATAGCATAAATTATTACTATTACTTACTAACATTTGCAGTCTTTTTTGAAGGAGAATTCACACCTTGAGTGAAAAGCAGAAAAGCAGCAGCTAATCAAAACTCGCGTTGGTAGTCGACAGTTTCTGCTTTATCTACTATTTTATCTACCAGCGCGAATTCTGATTGGCTACTGCTTTTCTATTTTTTTATTTATATTGACAAAATTCGCCTTGTTTATTCTATAATATGTAAACAGTAGAGGAATGAAACTTTGCATACCTTACGGACAAAATGGCAAGTATCAGTCGTACCAATATGATACGTTAAATTTAAATTATATTTATAATTATACATATAAATATATTATATTACATGCATAATACATTTTCAACTTTTTATTCTAAGTTTTACATGGGAATGTCTCAGTATTATATATTATTACTTAATTCATAACAACAAAGAGAGCAGCTACATGACCGCGAGAATATATACTGAATATACATGCGAGAATACATACTGAGGCTAGAGTGGCATTTAATTGACTAATCAAGATAAAGAAATCTTAATATTTTTCCTAATTAGACAATTAAATATCATTTTACTCTCGGTGTGATGTATCCGAACACAGCCTATATACAGCCACTAATAAAATCGTTGCAGTTTTATAAGAGAATATCTTAAAATTTATAACAAATATGTCTTCTTTGGAGAATTGTTTTAATCTTTCTTTCTTTGTTCGCTCAACAATCTATCCTGTGTTTTTTTCGATGGAAATATCACAAAAAGAGATAGTTGAGCTATACTAAGCGTAAAACCAACTACGTTCTGGAACTATTAAAATATATGTATAGTGGTAATTTGTAATGTATATAAGCAGATTATCTTGCACTCCAAAATATTTTATGCAATCAGACTACGAAAGTACTTACGATAACGAAAGCATTGTCAATGATAAGACCGTACAATAGCCAGCTGAAAGAAACTAAAGTACCCATAAGGATAAGCGGAAATGGAAGTATTTCTGTATTCTTCGTTTTTATAATTTCCCTCTGAAAACGAGCACATTTTTTAATTTTCGGTATATGATTGTTTCTTGAAAATTCAAACAATTCTATGTAAAAACTGATTATTTCCTTACAAGATGTATAAGAGGAGCTGCAATTAAAAGAAAGAGCAATACGGTAACCACTATGCCAAATCTAAATTCAACATTTGATGGATGTTCTACTTGCGCATATATAAGGAAGATTACAATAAAAACTGTTGCCTTCCCTATTAGATTGAGTACATTTTTCTAAAAAGAATAAAATATTATATAAGTAGAAAATTAACTGTAAATTAAACATATCTTAACCCTTTGTTGGCACAGTTATTTTTTATTGCTTAATGTTGCAGACTAGGCCTGTGAGTAATTCTGTAACTTTTCCGATAGGTCTTTACTTAAATATTTGTAAACGTGCTTATCTGCGCACGCACACACACAATGTAAAAGTATAGTTTTGAATACACAAAAGGTAAATTTAAAAAATCTGAAAGCAAAAATTTCTGTTTATCCGCACTTTAATTTCAAATTCAACAACTTAAAAACCTTATTTTTTGGATTAATATGATATATGAGTGCCAAACAACAAAGGTTCTCAGCGAGAAATGAACATTAAATCGATGTCAAATTGATGTCAAATCGACGTCGAAACAATTGAACTTAGATCGTTTTGATGAATCATTTCTCGTTGAATTGATAAAGTTTATATCTGTAGGCATACTGTGTTTGAAGCATAATAGTAATATACTGCCATATATATTGTATTTGTTACAACGCCAAATATATTAACATTTATCATTGCAGAATCATCCAATATCCATGCATATCGAAGCATCAATATACATCTACAAAATTAATTTAATTAATGTAATAATTACACCTATAATTACCTATTTTATTCGCTTTTAATTTATTTCTTAAGATATTTGTTTCTGTTATATATATATGCATGTAACATTATTTAAAAATTGTATTAAATTCAATTATTATTAATAAATGTTTCTATATATTTAAAACAAAAATATGTGTTTACTCACAGTCCTATACCACCAAGAAAAGGCATTGGGTCAACACCTTTCGATGTACCTTGTTGATATATGTTTTTACATATGATTCTATAAATTGTAAACAATATTTTTTTATTTTGGTTTCCAAGTGAAAAATATGGCAGTTTAAAAAGATAGAATAATTTATAATTTCTAAAATAATATGGCGCATATTCTCAACTCACTTTTATCGACAAAAGTGCCTTAAATGTAGCTTCTTAGCCAATCAAGTGGCTTCCAAGCCACTTTCAGTGGTATTTTTATTAGTAAAAATGACTTATAAGTTTTTATTATTTATTTTTATTAGAGAATATAGACTTATAAGTTTTGTAATTTAAAATATATAGCATATTTTGAAATGTCATGAAGCAATTTGTATATCATTATTTGTTATCACAAAAATATTTAAATAATAAATTATAAGCAAGAAAATACAATTCTTATTATATCAGTATGTTATAAAAAACAGTTATGTGCTATAGAATAATTTTGAATTGTTGTTAATTCAATTCTTTAATATTTTAACATTTGATAATATTATTCCATTATAAGTATAAAAATAAATAAATTCAAAGTATTAGGAAATATATTCACTAAGAATACATATTGACAATATTTTTTATTTCCTCACATATCTAATTATATCTGGTTTTATTAATTTTCAAATGAAACTATTGTGGTAACAGCTCAGATAGCATAATTATTGAAAGAGAAGATCAGATATAATAAAAATATAAAAAAAAATATAAGATATACAAGTAATATAAGAAGAAATGTTATTATGTAACTTACATTCCGGCTAACATTTGTAACATCGTGATATACATGGCACACGATCCTACAATTTCTTTATATTCTTCCAGAGTCATTTTGCTCGATTCACTGCTTCCTTGAAACTTGTACGTACGTCAACGATTGCTGGTTGTCGCCAATGTCAAATAAAACACGCGAATGAGTCAATTCAAATCAGGGCCGTAGATTGACTGTATGAACCTATTCGCGGTAATAGATCGAATGACTACAACTGTGTTCGGGACAGTGGTACCAGAAAGATACTATGACTCCGCAGAAACTATAGTGGGGGGCGATAACGTACACAATTGAAAGCCACGTATATGTGAAGAACGTACGCGGCATTGAAATATAGAGAGTGTCCCAGTGTGAGAGTGACCCAGAACGAACTTCGTGAAGGCGAATTGAACAAAAAAGTCCTTTTTCATTTTTCAAACGACACGCAAAATTTCGGATCATTAATTATTGAAAATAATCATGTGTAGTAGGACTTAATCTACATACATGTTTCTAACAAAAGACATCGGTATATTGAATCTTGAATCTTGAACATTGAACTTGTCACTAAATATAACAGCTGTCATATACTTAGACCATTCTGGACGAAAATGTTTTTTACCATTTTGTAAATTTTTGAATTATTAATTAAAGAAATCTCTATGCATTGCCATTGTTCATCTCAATCCGTTTTATGCTCTCGCAAGGTTTGTTCATGTTGATTTGGGACGCCCTGTATACTCTTTGGAACGCGCTGCCTGTACAGGATGAAATCATTGACTATAGAATACATGGACGGAGCCTTTGTACGAGGGGTAGATGATAACAGCGGTAAGAGGGGTAATACACTGACCTCGATTAATTCCGGCAAAGTGGCTCGAAAATGTTCGGCTGTACATGAAAGGTTGCGTTCCAATATTTACTGCTAGCACTAAAAATCTATACGTGACACAAAGTGTAGATTTTCAGTACTAGCAGTGAATATCGGAACACAGTCAAAGTTGCATTGCAATTAACGATTCTCAATTAATTATTCGTTTGAAAGTTGAAGTTCGATGTAAATAAAAACTACACAAAAATAAAACATACGCATATCATGAAAGGAATATTATATGTTTTATCTTTTTATTTCCCTTTAAATAATATTATATTCTGTAACTTATATATTTATCGCTAATATGAATATTTTGTACATAATATGTTAATCTAGGTCTGGTTATATAATACAATTATACAATTCTATTATTCAATTGTGTAATAAGGCGCAATAAATTGTTTTATTTCACGCTTGACTACTTGTTTCATACTTTTNATATATATATATATATATGTAACATGAACGATAGATTTTCAGTGCTGGCAATGAATTTTGAATCGGTGTAGAAGTTCCACTGAAATATGATTTCAAAAGTTAAATAATCATTATTTTTCATTTGACTTGACATATCTTGGTGAAAATCGATAAAAACTGTGATCTTAACATGCGCGAAAAGTACAAATTTCAAGCTTTAAAATACTTTTTGAGCCATTTTATTATCTTTATTTTTGTAGAAATTATACTTGTTGAATTTAATTTACTGTTCATGCAAAAATAATTCTTTAACTATTATGTTACAATTATTATGATTATCACACACAGCTGAAGTTTCCAAATGTTAAAAATGAAAAACATAACTGGCTATCTAATACCAAGTCACCTTATGAAAATATTGCGCTTGATAAAGTGGACAACAATATAAAAACATGATTAATAACTCCGATCACGTCCGCGTAATATTGCAGAGGAGAAGCTTTGCGCTTCGTACAACCGCCGGAAGGAGAAAGACGAAATCTTCGCGATATCTTGCTGATCGTTCGGCAGCCTCACGACGACGTGCATTGTTTGAAAAATCTATTATCGCAATGTACATCGCTGGCTGCATCGCGGTAGATTGCATCTCCGCGGCTGCGCTCGTTATCATCGCGCAAGATGTTCATTACACGTTAAGCCGGGGCCGCTTTAGTTATCCACCTGCCGGCATGCTGAATACGGTTTCTATTTTCTCATTAGCATACCTGCCATTTCACACGCGACACCCACCGCGCGCAGACATCGAGTCTCACGCCCGGACCGTCGCGTCTGACAAAAAGTTTGTCCGGCGGTAGTGATTTCATTCAAAAGAAAGACACCGCGGTGTGTATCTCTCGCCTATCCGCAAATTTCAGTGAAGCCGTTTATCGTGATATCCCGATATCATGGGAATAACGCGACGAATTCTCCTGTGAGTAGACGTTTTAATTCTATACTGAATCTTCACGTGAAGAAAACGGAAATAACTTTCTGTTTATGGCATCAAATAATGTTTCTTTGACGGGTCGAAATTTTAGTTCCACATTAAGCTTCAACATGGAAATAACTTCCGATTTGTAGCATCAAAGGAGCCACAATAAAAGACCTTTGAAAATTTAATGTAAAATTAACTAGACTTATTGCAAAACTAAAATTTCGATTCGGGTAAAATCTAGTAAAATTGTTCTAATCAAATAACTTCATCAATACGTCGCGACAACTCTTCCTCAAGTTGAGAAAGACTCGCGCTACCCGCTGAACTCGCATTCGAGTGTCGATTTGCGACTCTGGAAATGATGGGAAAGGCGGACATTACACAGAGGATCTATTTGAATTTTTACAATGCATCGTTAAATATTTACCGGCAAATTCAACGCGGTTCTGTCCGATTGAGAGAGTGTGCGCTCTCTTTTATTTATTCCCACTGATCCGAATTTATAATTAAACAACTGTTAATTACACGCGAGGGGAAAACAAGTATCCCTGATTTCCGATAAGTCTGCGAGATTGAATTTTGCGAATAAATACGTAGGGTGACGAGCCCATGTTAGCCAGTGAAGATAACGGTAAAATCATTTGTGCGGAATTTTTTTATATCAGCTGGACGAATGTCGAAAGACGAAAGATTCGTTTATGATGCGCGAAAGTGTTCCAATGAGCGTTCGATCGGTGAAAACGAGGGAAACGGGACTGTGACGAACGTAACCATATCAAATTTTACACGTGAATTAGTCTAGGCAGTATAACGACGTGACATATTGGTTTCGTTATCGCATCTTGCGCAAATAATGAAGCTTCCAAGTAATGAAGATTATAAATCTTTTACGTTAACTCACCTGCTTCCGTAGAATATACCATGAATTATGTAAGGTTGTTAACCGAAGTGCTACTTTATGTATGACTGATATGATATATAAACCACATATAATGTATATATATTTACGTGTATATATGTATATATATATGTACATGTGTATATTCGTCGGGTTTGTTCAACGAGTATCGATTCCGAATGCAAATTTCATTCCGCATGAATGTCGTATTACGCGCTCTCGCAGATGTTTAAAGATAATTAGTCACGATGGTAATGTGAATCTCATCAAGGGACACTCTCTCGCGCGTATCGAATTGATCTCATGCTACTACGCGGGATAAAATTCTCACTTCGTATACTTGAATATGAATACATTAGGGGTACCCATAAATAATGTCGTGTTTTTCAGATTGAATAAACATTGCCACCTTGTTCGTGGATGTGATTTGTTATTACCATAATGTATATTAATTAAATTGGCATTTAATGTGCTTATTGTGAAATTTTGAAAGAATTCAACCGTTAAAAACGGAAGTGCGGATATCAGAACGCATCAGCGATGGTTGAAAAGAAATATCATAAAAACGGTGATTTCGATCTTCCCGTCGGACCGAAATCTGGAAGACCTATTAAATTTGACAAGGATCTTGCGTTGGCTGAAATTGAAGTTGATCCCAAGTAAACAGCGACAAAGCTTAAAGCATCATGGATCAACGGTGCGACGGTGCTTGAAACAATTGAACGATAAAATAAAATTTTGTATCAAAAAGAGACATTACTTATAGGTACCCGTAATATAATGAGCCAGACGAAAACTCGGTGACGATGTCTCCGTTATCGCGATCGAAAATATCCGTCTGAATATTCAACTGCATTAAAAATCTGATGAAATAACTGAGAGCAGTTGATTAGATAGAAATCTATCGCGGGAATCTTTTTGTTCCTGCGATCGAGTTATCCTCTGATCCTCGGACCAAAAAGAAGAAACTCAGTTTCACCGATTGTTTTTTTTTTTCTGTAAAAAGAACCGTCCGAAAATTGCAGATTCGCGCTCTTTCACGCATATGCGCGTAGTTCGCGCGGCTTTTCGAAGGAGAGCGATATCTGTTACTGGCATCATCCGCACGCGATCGATTACCCCGAGTGCGATTTCGCAGAGAGTCGGCAGCGGCTTGTCTGTTTCAACGGTCTCCAAGACGAGTGGAAGGTCAAGTAAATATAATTGCATTTTTGAGTGACCGCCCAGCCGGGGGATTCGCTTAATTCCTCCACGGAAGATAGAGAAGTGGAAAGATGCCGGTCTCTCTTTTCAGGAATGAAAGTGTACAAGTGCTCGTCCTCTGCGAATGGCCGGACACGACGTTCGATCCGCAGGAGGTGTTACGGGGCTTCACGAGGTTGCGAAAGTTAATGCTCGCAAACAGTAATTTGACTCGACTGACAACCGCATTCCCGATCGAGGCGGGATTGCTCGAGGTAGGGAACACTTGTCCTAAGCTTTACTTAAACCTTGCCGAGACGGCGAAGTTCCGTAGATAACAGCACGATAATAATAATAAATAAAGATTACGCTTCATCGCCGCCTCTCTTGAAAGTAATTGAGCACTTGAGGTTCCGCGTGAGGAAATCTCGCGTAAAAAATCAATTATCGCCCAAAAATGAATTATTATCGCGAGACGGCGCTTCAAGCGTACATTTTATCTGGAGAATGGCAGGAACTCGGAGGGAGGTGTTTGTATCGATAGAAAATCAACGTGACCGGCACCAAGCTGCGTGCATTGCCGAAAGATGCGTTTTCGAACTTGCAAGTCTTGAGGATCCTCGATCTGAGGAACAACGCTCTCGAGGAGATCGATGTTACGACTCTCGACGTGCCTACGTTGAAGCATCTTCATCTGGCCGGTGAGAAACAGAATAATTCCGAAGAACCTTCGCGCCGAGCCGAATATAATCCCTTTGTCTTCCTATTTTGATCCTGATGATATCTTAAGTTTTCGCTGTCTTAGCGTTCACAACAAGTTCAAGATGATATTGAAAAGGTTCGAAATTATTATAATTTTCAAATGTCAGTATCGTCAGAATAGTTTTTTTATTAGTTCACAAGCTATCTAAGTAGACGCAAATTGTCCTTAAGAGTGTCACGCGATATTTAGGGCTCGTATTCGCGTATCGAACGTTAAGTTATGCCCTTTTGATCCTCTGAAACGACGAAATTTTCAAAACGAAACTTGGAATTAAAAGGATATACTTAACGTATGTACGTAGAAAGAAGGCTTCAAAATTCGAATTCTCTTCGCCAAAGGTGCGCGATGATTCTTTCCAATCGAAATTATATACGCGAGAAACTCTAACGTGCTCGCGTTCGCGCATGTCTCATGAATCATTAATGAAATTGTACCGACGAAGGTAATCCATTGAGATGCACGGAAGATACTGCCTGGATTTTGGACTCCGACGAAGGATCAGTCGCGAGTAGAGTCGTCGACAGAGACAAATTACTCTGCACCGCACCATATGATGGAAGACCGCTTGTCCCGGTCGTCGAGATAATCGTGGTAACGTGAAAATGCAACCCCTTCTACCGCGCGCAAACGACGCCGAGATTAAATTTGGAATTTGCAGGCGTTGAGAAAAGAGTGCAAACGAACGATCTGCGACTGCGAATTGGTCTACGTGGTCGGACGTGTCGGCAAGCTCACGGCGCAAGTGATAGCTTTCACCTCGGTGAATTGTAGCAACCGCGGCCTCACCGAGATGCCTGGCTTCTTACCTGCGAACACGACTACTCTTCGCTTGACTGGAAACAAGGTCCTATCACACACACTCGCAATTCAAATCTATAATTTACAGAATTCCACATCAGATTTCATTATAATTTTGTAGAATTTTGTCAAATTTCACAAGTTTCAAATTTTCAAAGATTCTTTAATATTTAATAGAAAAATAGAAAAATAAATCCTATTCATTTCAATTCACGCGATTTAAATTCACAGAATTTCGCAAAATTTTTCCTAACAATAAAAAACTCAAATTTTAATAGAAATTTCGAAGCAACGCAAAAACTTTTCGAATAAGTATGAACGTCGTGCGAAGCGAGCTTTGTAAGAAATATTTTACTTTTTTATAGTTTTTCAACCTTACGTTTCCAAATCACATTTTTTTACCTCGCATCAGCTCGAGATAAAGGTTCGGTTAAGACGCGAGTTAAGATCCCCCTAATCTCATGTTTACCGCAGATCGCGGATTTAACTCCGCTCACGACAAATCCCGTGTACGAGTCGGTGCTGGACCTATACATAGACGACAATCTAGTGGAGTCTATCGTTCGGCTGGAAGGATCGGACTGGTTGGACCGTTTCCGGCTCCTTAATCTTCGGGGGAACAAACTCACCGACGTTAGTTCGCCGTTTGTACACTTTATATAAACTTTCAGCCCGTTTCTTTTTGACCCATTCTATCATTTTTATATTCGTTTCTTGCACTCTCGGGCACGTGCAGTCTATTAAACGAAAAAAAATACGACGAGTTCACACGAGTATGCATGAATATTTTTGAGGAGATTGCCCGTCTTCAATATTCGTTTCTTTCCACCTGATGCATGTTACAATTTGACTTTACATACCTGAAATTTACACAGCACTGTATGTGTTTACTACTGAAAAATACTCAATAATAAATAATGTCGTGTTTTTCAGATATACTCAATCCGCTATAATCACTTATTATTAAAAATGCTGAAAAGTGCCCGGCACCTAAAAACAGGGTTATACCCACTCAGCCGTACACTATTTCAATTAACAGTTTTTGCGAGTTAAAAACAGTGAAGTATTTTTAGAAGAGATTAATCGAAACCGATGATTGTAAAACGAGACACGCGATTAAAGGGGATCACGACGAGGTGTTAAGCTCGCGCTCGGTATCAGCTCGTGCGCGTACTTAATACGCACGCAAGATGTGCGTGCAAATACAGTTTATGATTCTTTGTTCTCTGCATCTTTTCTCAGTTGCCCACTTACGCTCTGGAAAACGTTCTGCGCAACGGCAACGCGGCCAGCTTGTACCTCGGTAATAATTCGTGGACGTGCGACTGCCATTTCACGCCGAGCTTTCAGGTACAATCGGACGGTTTTTCGCACGCGAGATTAATTGAAGCGCTTGAGAAAGTCTCAATTTCGCGAGGAAACAAAAAAATAACATTACCGATCACTCATCGCCTCGATTAATCTAAGCTCTATGTTTCCTCCATCTCGGCTGCTTTGAATCGCGAAAAAATAAAAATGGATAAATTTAACGAGAGAAGAAAGAAAGAAAAAGAATTCGACCGTGGTAAAGCTGAAAAAAGAGAAACGCTTTGAAGGATTTTTCGCGCTTGCTGCACGCGCTCTATTAGTTCATTTTTTTATCGAACTGTGTCGCTATTATCAACGCGGAGTTCTCGGCTGGACTACTCCGGAACTTTAATATTATTATTCAAAATGACACTAGGGCTTAAACCCTCACTGGCCCATAAATAATTTCTTCATATTTTTATTTCTTTTTCGGCGAATCTTCCTTCGATATTATTCGAAGTGGCGAATCCTTACTTTCTATCGAGTCAATCCCGCGTAATCCGTGTCCTCCAGGTTCTGCTAATCAGATATCCGCATCTGGTGAAGGATATCAACGACGTGAGATGCGCCGCCGAGAGTGACAACGACAATGCGAACAAGCAGGTATACAACAACAGTCACCTTCGATTCGCAATTATCAAAAAAGAAAATATATTATCGAGATCTCGTCGCGTCCCTCAATTTAACGATATAACACGGCTTTCAGATCCGCGATCTCACAAGAACGGAGATTTGCATTTCGCCGGACGAGGATTCCTGGCTCCATCCCCTCGACGTTTTGAACGTCATATTGGCGTCATTAATATTCCTCGTGCTTGGCAAGCTCTTGTACGATTACTGGTCCTTTAAGAAAACCGGTAAGCTACCTTGGATCGTCACCAAGATACCGTGATAGCGCTGCTCTCGTAAAGAAAAAACCAGTCACAACGCTTAGTCAATAGGATGACAGTGGAGGTTGTAGCATCCGGCATTTGAACGTGTTTTCCGTTTTTTCACTTAGATTTGTCCATACACTTTCGCGTCTAAGTCTAACGTGTTAGAGTTCGATCCCGATTTCACTAGCATGGCGAAGAAAATCACTCTCAATAGTTGTTTATTCGATGTTTATTTCAATTTTTATCATTATAGAAGTTCGAATGAAAGATAAATTATATACTCTCTGTCACGGTGCAAACAAATGTCGTCTCATCATGTCGTTCGCCGTCCCGCCTCGCAAGTGTATTTTTGATATAAATTTTCAGCGGCTACCATCTTAGCGCGGTCTTTCCTCAAGCCTTGCCCTAAAAGTATAGGAGAAAATATGGATTTCAAATTAATATTGATAAATATTTGAATGCGCGTCGTAATCGCGTCAATTCCGCGGTTCAGTTTGTCAAAGATTTCTCAACGACGGTGATCAATGTTTTCGTGATAAATCAGTCTCGAATATGGTGACGATGAAAAAGCGTAAAATGAGAAATTCATACGCGAAATGAAGTGTTAGGCTTATATATTAAATTTATATATTGATATTAAAGAGAACATTATAGCTTTTTTCTTCGTCATTCCTAAGTTCTTTTCAATTTCGTCACGCGTTTTAGCAATGCAAGAATAGATTGTCAGTAAACCTCCCTGAAGAGCATGATATAGATTTTTTAATAGTATATATCAGTTTTCGAAATATAAATAGCATACATATGAAACAGAAGGACAATAAATTAAGGCAGAATATACGATGTATTCCTCGATTGTGAAATTCTGTAGTGTGATTTTTACAATAAAATTCTCCCCGCGCAGAGGGAAAACGTACGTACCGACTCCAACGTAACCCAAAGCCACGCATTCAGCCATGTACACGAATCCTTGATTCGTCCTCGAATTGCGAATCGAGTATTCCGGAACGGGTTCTCCTCTCTCGAGGCAGAACTTGTAGATCTTCTGCGACGCGTTCTTCAGGTTGCTCCGATTAAACGCCATTATTTCCAACATTCTGACGAAGGCGAAAGCAAGGGAACAATCAGAAAAGGTGAAAGACGACTTTCGAAACGCGAGGTCGAATTTTCACGGATCGTGATTATTCCCTGTTGAAAAAAACCAGGTGGGAGTCCATATAGGAAATCCATGTGAAATCTCACGGTTGACTCTGGAAATTTACACCAAAAACCCAAGTTCTAAGTGAATTCCTATATCAATTTTTGGATTTCTATATGGATTTTTATCATCCTAGACAGATTATTCGTATACAGATTCAAATGAGCTCCATTGGATTTTCGTGGGAATTCGCCTGGAAATTTTCAACGAGGTCCAACGAAACAGATCTCTTTTCATCCACGGGCGTGATGCGACTTATGTCGTTAAAATTCACATTCCACTTTCACGATGTTTTATCTCCCTCTCTTTCTCGTTGAACTCACTCGTCTCGCGAAAGATTCGATAATCCGCAGGAAGACAACAGGAGTTTTGGGCTATCCATCTGACACTCGGCGACCATCCACAATATTTTAGCTGCCAATTCGTTCTTGGCTAGATCTTCGGTCGCTTCGCAAGACGTTGCTGGCACATTATCCAAACTACGTTTAACAGCGTACGAAGAAACGCGATGATCTTAAACGGCGAAGCTCACACGAGCGAACTCATGCGAAGCGGGGGGATCGTTTAAGAGAATATTAAAGAGGAGCGATGGTGTTGCTGTCGTAGCACGAAGAAGCAAGACACTTGACACATGCTTAAGGGTTCGGATACAATGAAATAAATAAAAGGAATAAAAAATTAAATATAAGAAATTAGGAATGAGAAATTTCAACATCATATGGACAACCATGATTCAATACACAAGAAAAGAATAGAGAACGAAAAACACTGTCGAAATTCTATTCTTTATATCGTGGCTTATTAGGCTTAATAGTTGACTGAAAATTAACCTTTAAAATATTTCATGACCGACAATATGCAAATGGAAATCAATCAATAATTATCAAGAAAATAATAACAATGTCAATAACTATAATAAAGGTTCATTGAAAAAATAATAAAAGTAATGTGATCTTCTTTATTACTCTTTTATTATGTTTTAAACTATAGCTTATTCCTAATATCTTATTCTTAATTTCCTATAATTAATTCTTTGTTCCTTATTCCTTTCATTGGGCATGAAGCCTAAGATTCTTGTATCCTCGCCGCGGCCGTTTTGTTTTATGACGTCAGAGAAGCAACGAAATTCATGTTCAAAATTCTTACGTCTAAGTATACACTCCAATAAAAAAATACTCACAAAATGATGTTTGATAAATTTGAGTACACTTATTAAATATTCCGAATACTTTCTTTTTACTGGAAAAATCAATAAATAGCCATAAAATTAACATGACAAAATCATGAGAAAAAATAGGTTAAAATGAAGGTCATACCATGTTAATTCTACTATTTATTAATTTTCAGAACCAACGGAAAGTCTTTGGAATATTTTATGAGTGTGCTGAATTGATAAATGTCATTTTGTGTGCATATCTTTTTGAACAAATACTAAGAATTTTAGGCATGTGTATTTTCGCTTCTAACAAGACGAGCGAGGGACCAGAAGCCTTAACGTAACAGGTGATAACCGCTTGAAGCGGTCTGTTGTGGACATAAAGTGTTACCGTTAAATCCGCAGAGGTCACCGTTGATCACATACAGATTCGACTTCGGCTTGTGCTCGTATTTGATTGACACATTGCACCGCTTGGTGTATTCCTCGAGAACGGCAAGCGGCGAGCGACGACTCGCGATTATCGTGGAACTTTCCGCGACGTTGTCCTAAAACGTTTTCACGTATCCACTGCTAAATTTATGCGTGAGTTCCACCAAATCCAAATTCTCGGTATTATATTAGTGATATTTTGTTTGCGATATTCTCCTAAATATTCGGAAAAATCATTCCTCTTCAGAGAAGTGAAATCATCACCTATAAATAGATGACGGGGCCCTAACGTGTCATTTAGATATAGGTAACGTGTTATTGCGTTGGAATAACGTTTCTCAGACGTTGTACTTCCATGAATCGAACGTGCACGTTATTAATCCTAGCCACGTTTATTTTCGCGTCTTTAATTTACTATATTCCGGCCTATAAGACCATTCGACACTTTGTCATTTTCATTCGAATTAATATTTTTAAGCTTGTAATATGATAAAATTGAAAGCCATATATGTGGAGAACCCCGAACAAACAACGAGCCTAGAAAGCCGTTAACGGCACTCGAAAAACCAGACGTCCGTTAGAGAAATCATTGATTAGCGTAACTAAAATTTTGGCTAGGTGTAAATCAAGTTGCGATGTATATTTTCATTCTATTCTAATATGGGCGATATACGAACGTGTACCTGCAAATTGCTTGTTATAACTTTTACATCGTTAGATCCGTGAGATTCTCGAGCGGTCTTCTCACGTCCGCTGTCACCGTCAGTTACCAACGGACAGCCGTGCGCATTTCTGTCCACGTTTGGTCGAACTTCCGATTTGTTGTCACCTAAGACGACACCGAAAGACAATATTTCGAATAAGTTGTTAATCGTTAATCGAGGTGTGCTTCGCACATACCGGATGCGTCGATGTTTTCCGTGTCGTCGCGCAACTCCTGTAACGCATCGTTAACTGCTTTTGTCCATCCTTCTAAGCTATTATTCTCTGTCATCATCTCCGCCAGCCCTAATGAATTACATTCGGACGTTATTAAAGCGTTCTTTCTCATTCTCATTACTATGCAACCATTAGAATTAACTCGTAAGTGAACGAGCGAGGGTTAAACTGACGCATGAATAAACGAATGTTTCTCTGTTTCATTTTTGTCTACGACTTGTTAGCGCTTTCGGAAACCATCATTTAACTTTTGGATATAGCCAAGTAGCATCAATAACACTTGAAAATCTCAGCTATAAACAGTAGTTATTTTATTCCTCAGGAAAGTTACACGGCCGTTTATGCGAATTAACTTTCTATTCTTCTCATAATATTCAATTATCTTTAATCAATATATATTACTATTACTTATTACAAAACTTTTTGATCATCCCCGTTTACTCATCTATTCTTAACTTTCCGTTCTTAATCTTAGGAAAATAATAGAACACTCCTCTTTCTTCCCTCTTTTTTGTCTCTCTACGAGAGCGAAGCATCACTCACTTTCCTCGGAACTAACGTCGATACGTTTGTCGCCGCTATCCGTTACATTCGGCTCTGATTCCCCTTGGGAGCTGCGACACTTAGTCGAACTCGTTTTGAAGTGTTGAACGACTTCATCGAGCGGTGAATTCAAATGATATCCTACGCTGGGATATTCTTCCACCTCGCGATTCTCGCGTCGAACGGCTCCGCCACGTCGAGATTCCTCATGAACATCGTACATCGCAACCTCCTCCGTGTTTTCGACGGTTCGTTCTGGAACCTTGAAGGGCGTATTTTTTCCACTTAGGTTAGAACACGATAATACGTGACAACGCGAGGGACGGCTCGTTCGTTACACGTACGTTAGTTTCCTCGGCGAACGATTCTATGTCGGAGACCATCGAGATCGTCGTGTTGGATTCCCGCGAATCCGGGGTGTGAAACGAGCTGGACGTGTCTGCAATATCGAGCAAGAGTCACACGTCCTCTCTCTGTCTCGCGAACTAGCTCGGATTAAGTGATACTGCGACGTTATAAATTTTTTTAAGTTTGCCGGGGAAAACTCTCGAAGATATATCGGATCGATCAAAAAGTATGATTTCTCCGGTCTGACTCCTTCTTGTATTTAGGTGGAATCAAATGATTCATTGAGCAAATAATCGACGTCGTAGTCTGCTAAACCCTACTATAGAAGGTGGCCGATTGAACAAAATTGCAAACTTCTCAGCCTCATATTCACGTGGAAATCACGGAGGCGAAATTAATCACTCCGCGTTTAACGAATAATTCATAATCGAGAGCGCAAGCTTGACCGAACGATGAATCCGACGAGTCGATATTCGCGTGATGTAAACTTTCTCTCTCTCGTAAACAAATTACTTACAACTTTACGAATTACAAACCTCTCGGAACAAAGCAAACGAAAGATCGAACGCGCGGCCGGCGAATCCACAGTTCGATCGCAACGACAAACGGTCTCGCGTGTATCATCGCGTCCCTATGAAAGACAAATCCTTCCAGTGAATAAATCATTATTTCCCGTCCTACAATATAACAAACGTACACCACCTCCCTCCCGCTGAATAGCTCGATAATTACAATTGCTCCGTGCGCGAATAATTGTACCGCGACTATTTGCATTATTAGATCGTGCCATATAATTTCACGCTCGAAAGCCGATATTCGAAATGGACTTTTTTTCGCTTCCGCCATCTCGCCGGTCGTACCGACTTCTTGAGCGCAGGGCGCCGCTCTCAACTGCTGCAGCAGGTCCTCCGCGCGTTCAATCACCGTCTCCATCTCGCAGAGGAGCGGCGCCGCGTTCGGGAATCGCCTGGCGATCGTATCCCAGGCCGCATCCTCGACACCTTGCAGCGATCGCGGTGGCGGGCCCGTCTTGTCCGTACAGGACATTCGATCCTTCCTTCTTCTTCTCTTTGTCGTCGTCTCGTATCGATGTTTCGCGTTCGATGCGACGCGATGACAAATTCCGTTCAGGTTATGGGACGTTTTTCCCCGCACATTCTCTCCGCATGGAAAATATGACGGCTGGTGGAGGAACGTCGGGAAAAAAGACGAACAACGTGGGAGCGGGCGAGCGAAGTCAACCAGTCAACTCGTCGATTCCACGAGCGCGATGTTGTCGCGATCGGGACGATGCGATACATGCGCGTGTCTTATGAATAAAAGCGACTGAAAAGTGAACGCCCTTCAGAGGGTAGGTGTGTGGAGATAAAAGCGTTTATTTTAAAGTTAGATCGCGAAACAAAATCGTATTTTACATTCTCGTATGAATAATTAGCTGCTTTTATTACGAGGCATTTGGCTTTGCCGTCTGAAATTGATCTCCGTTGCGCAGCGCATGCAATAAATAATTCTTTAGCGATTTTCACTCGTAATGTCAGACCGTTAATGTCTAATTTCACCGAGCCAAAGTAAGAGCGAAACGCGGGATGATTCGAAAGTTTCTCGGGAGGAAGAAGAGGAAATGGTCAAGCGGCCTGATTGCGCTCTCTCGTCTCGTTTGTTGCTCTTGCAGACAGTAAATATTCCTGTTTATTCATATGCTTCTGTGTGTAGGCATGCACACAGCCTCTGAGAGCGCACGAGAAGAGTATTGTAATATCTTTATTCATACGCGCGCGAAGTGCCACGGCAAAGAGTTGCAAAAAGCGAACATACGTCACGAATAATAATGCCGTCGCAGTAGAAGGAAAAAGATTATCTACCACGCTGACTCGTAAATTAGTGTCGCCCGCTTTTATTTTCTCTCTCACTTTTGTATGTGAAAAATCCACCGTACGGTGATGTATCACTTGGGAGGGCAACGTCGCGATCGAAGGTAAAAGATTTCGCGACGACACGGGCTTATAAACTTAAATCAAGACTGGAATATGGATGATGTCGAGAGACTCCCGGAGGACTTCCGTTCTACCCGGGGCGTTTAATCCGCGCTTTATCCTCGCGATTGCGGAAGGCCGATTCGCGACGAAATCTCCCACGGAGAAATTCAAGCGAACGATATCTTGAGAAATATCTATATCGACTTCTGTACAGCATACCCGGGAAAAAATGATTATATATAATTGCATAAAATCATATGTGAATCTTGTCCATATATGTGGTTACATGTATGACCATATTTGAAGTCATTATGAAAACTTCGCTCGTTCTTCGATAACGAGCGTACACCTTAAAATTACGCCTCTGTACTCGGTAAACAGACCGACTAATAACATTACGTCAATGTTATCACTTCCTTTCTAAACCAGGCAATATAACATGTTTTGTCTGTAACAGTTATATGTTGTTGAGTGGGAAGTTACAATATCGATGTAATACTGTTGATTGGTGTTTTCACTGGATAATATGGCGCAATTTCGACGGTTATCCTTTCTGCGGGATAACCGGGATGTTCAGTTCACTGACTCAATGAGAAAGAGATTAAAATAGAAAATCAGTGAAACAAGTCGGGCTTAAGTCAACCGGCGAATTGTCCTTTCGAGCCGCGGTCAGTGGATTTGCGAGCGGGACAAAATTTCGGGCGTTCTTCACCTTCTTCATATTCTTCTTCACAAGGGCAAGAATATATGCGAAGGGAAACTCATCGACGAAAACAGAAAGCGACGATGATGATGACGACGATGATGAATCAATAACGCACCTCCGATACGGCTGATCTGCTGGGTTTCTTTAACGCGATGGTATTTTATTAAAATTATAAACACGGGATTACAATACATCGTGTAACGCGTAATACTTGCTTAGAAACGTCGTTGAATCAAGGCCTCTTTGATTCAAAACTCTTACCATCCACTTTTTTCTGTATTTTTTCTTCTTCCTTCTTTTCTTTCAGTTAGCTACGTGTGTGCGAGCCTGGTTTGTGCTACGGCATTTTTTTCGTGTACGTTCTCTTACATACATGCATATTACTATAGGTTTTTTTCTTTTTTTTTTCTTTAGATATCGTAGGACACATTCTCGGACGAGCGCGACGCGTGGGAGATCGCGCAAGTTCCCGCACACTCTTACGTAATAATTCGAGACTCCTCCAACTATTGTACGCGCTTCACGCGATGAACTTCTACCTTGCCGTGAGAACGAACACAATGTCGTATCTTGGCGATCCCAAGACAGAATGAATGACTCTGTATACGCGTGTACGTACGGTGTACTTTTTTTTAAAGACTGTGTGTCGCATCGCCGCGTGTTCGCGTGCCAGGCAGGATACGCGCGCTAGCATGAATCGTCGTCCCCCGCGAATAGAAATAATAAACGCGTTCCGCAATGTTTATTACGCCGGTTCCGTCACCGAGGGGGAGGAGAGGACAGACTCTCTCTCGTCCGTTTATTTATTTATAGACAGATTTATATCGTGAGCCGGGAGAACCGTATCGACTTTCGAGGATATATAAAAAATTCCGCGACAAACGGTTTTTTCTCTCTCTTTTGCATTTTCGTCTTTTTTCTCTCCTCGTCTCATCGTCCTCATTTCTCATCGACGAAGTGACTTTGTATAAAAAAAGGATTCTCGGAAGAATTTCTTTTTTTTTTTTTTTTTGAAAACAGCCTGTCTCGTCGTTAGTGAAAATGATCGCTGCTTCGGTTTCTCGCTGATAGATAAGTAGTAGATGTGGAGGCGCGCTTAAATTAATTTCGAACTTTCGATATGTTAGAGTTTAAATTTTTAACGTGTCCTTTTAATATTGCAGTCGCGCGGTTAACACATCGAGCTCGGCGTGCGCGCACCTCTCGTCTCTGATGTACGACTATACGTTATTCGCTAATATATGTGTTACATTCGCATTTTGGATTCCTTGCGTCTCACAGCGTATAGAACGTGTTGTAATACATATACTCTCTCTCTCTCTCTCTCTCTCTCTCTCTCTCTCTCTCTCTCTCTCTCGGGTTTCACGATCCGGATATAGATAGAAAGAGACTTACAAAATTCGATAAATAAACAATAGCTGCGGCAGTATTCGCGTGGATAGACCGTTTTTCGGGCAGCGAATTCGTTCACGAAGCAATTCGTGAAGTCGGCGAAGGAGATCTTAATGCGAGATCCACGCGTGTCTGTGGGAAAAATATTTCTTGCCCTCGCATGGATTGTGTATAAGTTTAGAAAAGTGTAAACTATACCGGAAGGTATCAATTAGTGCTAAAAAAAGACACCGACAATCGTGGGTGGAGTCCTAACGTTGATTGTTGTCTTCGTATAAAATCGCGCAAATACGTGAGCCATCGATCGAAATAACGCTGCGGGCGGATTATTTTCCCCGGAAATAAACGAGAGGGATCGAGGAGACCTCTCAGTCGAAAGTTTGTCTCTGCATTTGCGAATTCTGCCTAACTTTAAGGACCAATGAACGAACGCCAATGAAAAAAAATAAATAAATAATAAAGAGATTACGAAAATATAAAATTTGTTTTAACTTACTTTTTCCCATGCGTGTGCATTGTTAAAACAGCCGAATGTTTGACAACTCTGAAGCCCCTTTTTAAGGACGATTCAACGTGGAGAAAATGGAACGAAATAATCATCTATATCATCAAAGTAGAACAATATTTCTGTTAGTCGAAATTTCAACTGAGGAAGTGTGAAATCATTTCTCGCTAGGTCTACATTTCCGTGGAAAATTCCACGCTTTCTCCCTCTTTAATTCGCAATTTACATAAAATCCAATATACGACGAACTTTCACGTTTTTGTCGAGATTAGCAACGTTATTCCGTCCGCTGGCTCAATATGAATTCGCTTCCTTCAATTTCGCTTCCCGGATTTCTTTCTTTCACTTTCTGTCCCTCTTTTTCTCAAGATAGATGTTCAGATCTCGAATTTTGGACCACATGCCGCGTACTTTTCTGTGAACATTGAGTGTGACCTAAAAGTGATCGCGTTAAGATATCGACGGCGATCCTCGGCCGTAACGATGACTCGATGAGAATGTGCATATTTAAACGTGAGTTCTCACGCGAAAGATTTATTTCCGATTGTTGATACGCTTACCTCTATCACAGCATACAGACGTACGTTAAATACGCGCTTTGCCATACACAGTGTACGAGTGTCTATAATAGGCTAACGCGCAGAGAAATGCCGTGTGCGTTGTGCGCGCATGTATGTGTGCAGGTGTGTGTGTGTGTGTGTGTGTGTGTGTGTGTGTGTGTGTGTGTGTGTAGCGTTTGCTCAAACACACATTCGTAACTGGATTACGATGTATACGCTCCTTCGGCATCCAATTAGTTAGTCACACACATGGATACTTAAGTCTCATTCGAGCCACGCGCATTTCAATACCGCATCTATCACTATACGAGTGTTATCTACGTACGTATCGTACCGTCCTTCGTAAATCACCTGTGAAACCTTAGGCAGCCGGCACGATCTTACATTGGTTACGGATAACGCGAGAAAAAAATCTAAAGAAACCAAACGCGATCGTCGGATAAAGCGGCGGATTTGATCGTCGCATTGCAGAGACGGTGGACGAACGTAAATCCGGATCTACAATAGCTGTGACGATCCCTTAGCTTTCTCGGAAAAAAAATGATCACACATGAAATTTGTCCATATATGACCATATATGTCCACGACGAAAAAATACTGTTGTTTACAAATTATATGCAAATACGATCCAAGTAAATGCTTCTGGCGACTTGTGCTTCTGACAGCATATAATATCGACATTTAATTAAATGACGTAACATCATTTTCTTTCGTATAGACATGATATGATCATATACGTAACCACGTATATATGGGAAAAATTCATATATGATTTTGTATAATTATATGTAATCATATATATAATAATTTTTTTCCGGGAAGCACCAGATTGTAAGGTAATTTCTAATAGAAAGCGCTTTAAGCGCCAACAGACGTCGCAATTCCTAAAATTTCAATGTTACTGCGACCTTTGGCAGCGCGAGAAACGCCAGAAATTACGTTGTATTGATATTACGTTATTTCAAGCAAAAAGCTTGCTTATCGTGGATCCGGACTAACGCGTGAAGAAAATAGTTTTACTAATGTGCCCAGACGATGTGACAGTTAGAGAGAAGTCGCAGACAATTAAAAAACAATTAGGACAATTAAAAGGATAGCAATTTTACGATGTGTATAACGGCTAGTCTGGTCGTAGGCCACCGATCTAACGCGTGAAAGGATCAAGATAGTCAGGCATAATGTGTAGAGTTTGGTCGTGACGATCGTCACGGGATAGATTACGCGCAACGGCAGGGATCGCGCGATCGTTCGACGCCGCGAATTCGAGAGACTCACGCGCCAACTCGTAGCGTCCACCACGCTCTATAGTCCTAGAGAACCGAGAACCGACATCGATGGTCCGCTTTAAATTTAATTCTCCTCAGTGATGACAAATAATGCACTATGATTTTAATATTTCGGAACATAATATTATCAAGCAACAGTTTAAAAATATTTATAAAAATATGATGTCAAAATGTTTCTTGCTTATTCAGACAGACAATCAAACCGGTTCCAAACCTTCTCCATTAATATCTCGAACTTCATCTTCCGCGCATCCCTTTCGTCGTTCGCGCGTAAACTATCCGGGACGCTTCTCCACTCTTATGTACGCGCACATTTCCGTCGTCCTTTCCGTCTCGTTATCCTCGTCGTTGGACGCGCGTTCACGATAACCCCGACAGGACACGAAGGAAGCGAACGGAAACGGCGTACCCTACGTCTTTAGAAGCATTGTATAGGCGCGAAACGCCAATTCTTCGCCGTTGTCTGCGCGTCCGCTCGCGCGCACTCCTTTTTATCCCCCTAAATCGTGTGTATCTAAAACCTACCATGATACTGCGGTGTTTATCGTAAATGTACATATACCACGAGCGCATGGGATGTGTTCGCACGTTCGCGCCCTTCATTCGAAAGAGGCTCTCTGCTCGTTCGACCGCCAAGTCGAGAGGTGCAGCAGTGCCTCCCTTCTTCCGCGGGGGACCGACCGTCTTTCTCGCGCGCTCGCTTCTATGTGCTTCGGATATATTCTACGGGGATTTCGTACGATTACTGCGGGAGTATGTAGCGCGTGTCAATGTGTGCCTTTCAGGATGGGAGTGTCTGGCTGCCGTACACTCCGGTCCGTTCACGGGAGTAGATGGAGAGGGTGGGAGGGAGAGCCAGAGCGAGGTAGGCATTAAAAATCATGACTATTCACACGGTGGTCTCGATATTGGCAATGGCGTATTGTCAACAAATACTGTCCTTCCCGTAATTCTCCAGGTACATCTCCTGGGGCGTGGCTAGGTTGTACCGTCCGCTCAGCCGGCTACCGGTCAAGCCGTTATTGTGGTGGGTGTGATTCACATGGAGATGATTGACGTTCAATGCGACGTTCTTCTTCTTCTTGCGCGCCTTGTGCCGGTAGAGGCAGTACTTGAGGCAGCCGGTGGCCAGCAGGAGGATCAGGAATATACCGAGAGCACCGGCGCCTACCGCGACGTACAGCAACGTCACGCCGAAACGGTACGAGCAGTTGGCCTCCTCCTCGTCGAAGCCCGAAGGGCAGTGCCGCACACCGTCGCACCAAAGGACCGAGCTGATGCACGCCTGGATCTCCGGACACCTGACCAGACAGAAGATCAAGTGGGATTTCTCTTTCTTTTCTACCGACGAGGCCTCGCGATCTTGTTCGTACTCATACAATGCAATATCTTAAAGACGATATCTTATATCCCGATTTTGAACATTGGCTCTTTGGGGTAAGCAAATCGATTATTCCTCTAATAAAAGACTACACGATTGACGTCAATTTGTTTAAAGCAAGGTTGTAAATCAAAACTAACAGGCCTTTTTAGCCGCTAAATTCCTTTCGACGCTAAATTACACACTCGTTCCGTATAATTTTAATTTCGCGCATTATGAATTCACTGCCCTCGGCCATTCACATTCGAAGGATATCTCGAAGTACGTTGTCAGTTTCGCGTAATGAAAATAGAACCAACCTGTACGGGCAGTCTTCCGCGGGTAATATGGTGAAAGCATTGGCGCCCAAGTTAGGCGCGGCCGGCGAACGCTTGGAGATCGCGATCCACGTGACGGCGTAAAAGCCGGGCTCCCGCTGAAGGAACTCCACGACGAAGCTACGGGAGTGCTGGGCCATCGCCACGCTCGCGTTCACGGCACTGTAATTCCAGCCGCCGGAAAAAAAGTCGACGGTCTTGGCGGTGTCGACGCCGCCCTCCGGACAGATCACGCTGCGTTCCTTCGTGTTAGCGGCCGAGTACACGACGATACGGTTCAGCGTCGTGCAGTCCTCGACGTTGTCCAGGGTGATGCTGTAGCCGGCGGTTCTCAAGTAAAGGAAATTAATGCGCGCGTCCTCAGGCTCGATCAGCCATGGCTCGTTCACGCACTGCGTCGCCGTGAGATCTTCCGTGTTCGTCAGGATCTCCTCGACCGCCGCCACTCCGGGTATCACGCGTGGCAACGGACTCCTGAGGGAGATCTCGCCGCTGGTGCCGCGCAACCGTCGCTCTTCGAGCCGCGTGGAGCACCCGTGCTCGTTGGACTCCGCGCTCACCGGCGCGAAACGGTACTCCCCCTCGAAGAAGAAGTCCCGGTAGTCCTGGGTGACGTTCATCAGCGTCACGGTGAATCTCACCTCCACGACGTTCGACGTCAGCGTCCGCACGACGATCCTCTCGCTCACGTTCGAACACAGGCAGTCGCGAGCCTGTCAGTGATGCATCACGAAATCGTATTTTCGAAGCAGTTCGGGAAAGATCTTTCTCCTTCTCTAGAGAGGTACGTTCTCAAATTGATGTCTCGATCAAAGACGGAAATATTTCAGTAGGAATAAAACTGTCGGATCTGCTTCCACCGAATCTATTTTTTACCTCCTTTCATCACTTCTCTCCATTGTTCAAACGCAAGATTAATCATACTTGACATATAACTGAAAGATGTATCGCTAAAAATGAAAAAAAATTCTGTACGTACGAGTTCGACCCCTTGCCAAGGGTACTCGGCAACGACGAGGTCCGCCAAGCCGGATTTCCGAACGTCCGCCATGCGCCGGTCGCACGTCCATCGGTTCACCAGCGGGTCCACGTAGGACGCGCAGCTCTTGCCGCCGAACGACGCCTTGGCGAAAGACAGCTCTATCCTATGATCAGGATCGGCTTCGAATCTGTACACGCAGCTGAGATTCTGCGCGCCGCCACGGCCATAGAAGAACACGCTCTTGGGCGACGCGAATTTGCCGGCGTTGAAGGACGACGAAGAGGAGGAGGACGACGCCGACGACGAGGCGAACACGTGGTTACACGAAATCGCCTCGTGCACGAACTCGTAACGCAGCACGAAGCTGATCGGATAGAGCGCGCTACCCTGACGCAATATGTGTTCCAGGGTGAGGTCCCTGCCGGTCGACACGTAGCTCTCCGCGAGACTGCACGGCCGCGTGTGCCGGCTGCTGTTGCGCAGCAGACTGTGGTCGCAAAGCCGCGGTATATCGTCCTTGCAGAACTGTCCCATCAGCGTGACGTTCTGCAAAATAACCGTTTACGACGATCATATTGTGACGTCTCACCACACGCATTGCACGTAGCGCACGAACATTCCCGCGTGAATGATCACTCGAATTGCCGTACTTGTTAATGCTCGCCATGGTGGTTCAAAGGTAGTCGGGTCAACCGTGTATCTCGTTTGCGTGAGAACGACAGTGATGAAGATATTGGGAAACGTTCTCTTTAGGGCACAGGCTAAGTATCTGCCCAGTAAGCAAGAAATCAATCCTTTGAAACGCTGATTTTATATAGGAATTTTATCAACATTTTGACGTAATATTTTATAAATGTTTTTCAACTCTTACTTGACGATCACATATTCCTAAATATTAAAATCGTACTGTGTAAATATTATTTTTCACGCTCGGGTCAAATATCGTTAACAATGACGTTGCGCGCAACATTAAGAACTACATATTTGAAAATGTTACATGTTATAAAATATCATTGTAATTGTGTCAATGATTTCTTGCTTACTGGGTATGTTCTAACTTCCTGAATAGAAAGAAGGGAAAATCGCGAGAAATTTCTATACGGGATGTTCTAAAAGAGGAAACTCACAATAAATACGTAATAAACAAAACGTATGGTCAGCGTAATTCTTGGGCCAATTTCATCCTGCCCCCGCTTTGTTTCCCGCTCGAGGAAGCTTTAACGCTGATTGTTACAAAAAAAGCAAACAAACAAACAAGAGAAAAGACAAAATCATTTGCAAAATACCCACCTTTCGGACGGCGGCGAGCTTGTTCACCGTGATATCGCCATCCCATATCAAGAGCTTCGCATTGCAATCGGCGGCAGTGTCGATGTTCGCGGCAGCCTCCACGCTAGCGGCGTAGTACTTGACGAATGACAGCCAGACGATTTCGTTGAGCTTGCCCTGAAAGTGGTAGCGGCAGGTCGTGTTCGGCGGCAAAGAGTGCTTCGGGTTTTCCAGGATGCCCGACGAGTTTTCATCGCCGGATATATAAAAGTCGCAGTTATCGTTCTCCTTCACGAAGCTCCGTGATTTCTCGTCGACAAAGATCACCTGCGCGCACGAATGTGCAAAGGATGCATCGGGGAAGGCGAGCAAATACCGGCGGATACTTCGGTATTCGATCACTCGTTTGACAGTCGGTGNTTTTTTTTTTTTTTTTTTTTTTATAGAAAGAACGGTTACTTACAAAGCAAATTTGTAATAACCAAGCGAAGAAATTCGTAATAATATTCGCGCGATTCGATCGTCACGAAACGATGTAACGCGTGTATCCGAGATTTACCTGAACTTCGAGCTCAAATCCTGGCAGGAAAGACAACGGGACCGGGTGAAACGGATTGTCGTACGGGGACGTGTGAAATTCTAACAACATCGTATTGTGACTACTGACGATGTCTGGCACCGCATCTCCTCCGCACAGTCTTACGAGCACACGGTCTGAGGTTGAACCCCCGTCATACACCGTCAAGTAATCTTGCACGACGTTGCACTGATCCCACACCCTTGAAAAGTACGCAAGGTTTACTCGGGAATCCGTCCGTTGTCATATCTGCACTTCTTTCGCCCTTTTGTGCCATTTCTCACTATTCATCCTCTTCCCTCTCTACTCTATCTCGAGATTTTCACTCATATCGCACGGAAAAGAACAAAATATATATATTAACGAATCCAACAATCCTGACCTTGATATATATTATTAAGAAAAATATGCTAAATAACATAGAAACTGTTTCAGCCATCGGACTTTGTTTGCCACCAAAGTTATTGACAAAACAGAATCTTAAAAGATTTCTTCAAATTTAACAAATTTTATTGCATCCAAATAAATTTCATCATCGACATGCTCCAAAGAAAATGTTTCTTCGATCAATAAGTACGATTGTTAGACTTTTCAACGAATATGTATCTTTATCTTAAATAAAAAATTTGTTTGCGAAACAAAAGATTTTCTTATAAAAAAATTATTTGTTTCATATTTATTGAAAGCGAATAATATTTTATTTGGTTAAATTATTTCGAATAATAGCGTTCTTTTCTGTCTGTCCTATTCTATCTCTTTCCTTACTTAATGAACTTTCGCATCGTAAACATCATCAATATACCTCAACACCCGTTGACTTCTGTCGTACTTCACGACCTGGTCCTTAATGTGTATCTTGTGACTGTTCCGTTGACTAACGGCAAGCAGAGCTCGGTGACCCACCGGCGCGCGGTTTTGCTCCACCCGATAGTAGCAAGTGACATTCCTGGGGTAAACTCCGGGATAATTCGGCGACTGCAGCCGGCAAGCCCTAGTGTCGCACTTGGTGAGGACGCGATCGCAATACGTGCCGTTTACCAGCTCGCCGCGCCATGTGGACATACTGCTGTTCCCGTATCTGAGATGCGCCTCGCTTCTTCGCAGGAACTTGTACGACAGCTTGAAATCGAAGTTGTAGCCGATACCCTGAAAAACGGAGGAATCGCTCCGAAATTGCGCCATGACGACAAGCGGCGGCGTCACTCTTACTTCCCGTGAGGGGGATCTTCAAACGAGATCAACTTTCTCAGCCGAGCCGGTCGTGCGTCAAATTTTAAACGAGTTCTCCTCGCGACGATGATGATTCGTTAGAAACCTATTACAATTCGAGAATCAGTCGCAAAGGTTGCTCGTCCGGTGGAAATAACAAACATCGACGTATCAAAGCTTTCTATATATATATATATATATATATATATATAAATATTCCATATATATAGAATTTTTTCATGTAAATAAGAGCAGTTTCTTCATATATTCTTGCTTATATATGAGACTGCAAATTGATTTTTTCCGTACAGTTACATCGAAGATCCCTCTTCGGGAGCAACTCGCTCGTAAAAGTGTGAGCGCGCGAGTTCCACACTGCAAATCATGCGTCCCTTGGAGCAAACACAATTTTTTACCTGGTCCGATAAACGTAGCAAATATAAAGTCAGATTGATGGAAGGAGTTTCGCTGTAATAAACGGTGTAGCCCCACGCGCTGCCGCACCATTGTCCTCCTGTCGCGGGACGACCTTCCTCGCGAATAGTCATGAAACCATCTGGACATCCTTCCGACGTAAAGGATAGAAAGCGGCCGACCGTGAAGGTATCAAAAGTTAACTGCAACACCAGCGGGGCATTATTCTAAAACTTACGAGCCGGCGAATGTCCGCGAAAACCGCCCGTGTTTTGCCCGCTTTTTGGAAATAAAACTAAAGATAAAAGTTAGAAACGCAGTTATTACGCGCCCTCCCTTCTCGCGTAATAAAAGCAAACATTTCTATTTTAACATAGTTGATTATTTTTCTCTCTCTCTCTCTCGCAGCAAGCGTTGTTTTACATTTCGGTTTGTGCGAAGCGAGATAAACCGCGAGTAAAGTTTCAGCCGCGCAACTGAAAGAATTTCGCGAAACCGCACTCCCGCGCAACATTCACCTCGAGAATCGAAATAATTATCGGTGGATAATTATTCCTTCTCTCGCGACACTCGCTCGATTTTTCCAACGATGCGGATATCGATTCCATATTATTATCGGGGAGAGATATAATAATCGATGTGTCAATATCACCCGAGAGGACGACAGGCTTCAGAAATACTCCGTGGAAACTTCAGGGGGAAGGAGAAGGAATCACAGGGATTCTGCGAGTAAGCATATTCTGCGAGATGGTGGAGAACGATGTTTACTCAGCGCAGGGAGCCGATTTAATTTTGCCAATAAACGCGATAAGAAGAGCCGGGACATAAATTATTATCCAGGCGCGGGTCTCTGCCCCGTGACAGACTCCCTCAGCCGGCGGACCGGCCAGTCAGCATTATTTTCTACAACTACATCATTTTCTACGTCCAACCTGGACTAGATCCCCGAGATCGGAGCCGGCGGCAGTGAAGTTGAGGTGACACAAGAATGGCAGTCGATCCTCCCTTGGCCGGCGTATCTCCACTCTGTAAGTCCGGCCGACGTCACCATACAACGTCCGATTGCAGGCTGGAACGTTTTCATCGCACGATGATTACATATTATGTGAGGAACATCTGTATTCGACGATTAATGATAACAACGCGCTCGTGCGAAGCGGGTCAAAATAGTCCTCTCAAATTGTGTCGGAGATTATGAAGAAACGCGCCGCGTAGTGGTATATTCTGTGAGTGTTCTGCCGAGTGGGTGTTTCGTGAAATTTCTCAGTTTTCTGCCCATTTTTATCATCGTGATTTATATCCAATCGACGATCAATTCGACGGAACTGATCGATCGGTTCAGCTAATTAGTCAATTCCGTTGAATTAATCGTCGATATTAGATTTGAACCATGATGGTGGCATGACCAACACTGGCTGATCGCACGAACAATCGCGACGAGTTCGATATAAACGGTTTGTTCGCGAGGCGCGATATTTCCATTGTTCGATGATTATGCGGAAAGCAAGCCCCGGATTGCGCGGGCGACCTAGCGAGATAAAATATTATTTCGCGAAATATTAACTCCTAACTGCTCCATCTATTCCTCTTTCTCTCTCTCTCTCTCTCTCTTTCTCTCTTGTAACAGGGTCGCGTATATATCAGGCTGATTACGAGCTTCGGCAAGCTGAAATGTTTTTATCGCGCGATAATTATGCGCGAAAAATAAACGCCCGTAAATATATATATATATATATATA